TTTGGCCTCCAATTATGAATACCCAAAATTGTTTTAGCTTTCGAGATTCGACTATTTTGTTAAGTTTTCAGAAAACACAAATTACAAAATAATTCACAAAATTGAAACTCCCAACCCTGTAGTTGCGTGCTGTCAGAGTATTGTCAAGGATTGCGGAACTTGTCTTCAAATAAGACTGGTCAATTCTTGGTAGCTTACGATATTTGATGTTTTTTCTGGTTTTCAAGAAATATCTCTTTTAGAAAACTCAAGTTTCTCAAAATTTAAGTCTCCCAACGTTGTAGTTGCGACTGTAAGAGAACTCTCAAGAGTTGCAAATCTTGCGTCCAAGGGACGTTTCGTAGATCATTTTAAATTTTTTCAAAGAAGCTTAATAAAACGTCACAAAATTTAATGGTTTTTCAAAATTTGTATTAAAAAGTTTTGAATAAAAAACTTTGTAATTACGAACCCTGTAATTGGTTGCTGTCAGAGTACACTCAAAGGGTGCAAATCTTATTTCCAAAATATGCGGTTTTTTATGAGTTATTAAAAATTCGAAGCACCGGAGATGCGCTACACGCTAGTTCGATTTATTCGCCCGGAAAGAATTCTGCTGATTTATTTCAAGAAACTCGCAACCAGCTTCAGTCGTCACCATCTTTCGTACTCCTTCATCGCCCAGACTTCGTTTTTGTGTTATTCTGTGAGAAAAAAATTAATTTTGGTCAAATCTAGGAAAGTTGAACTCAAATTTGATAAATCTGACAGGAGTATTGGCTCATTTTTATGTTTTTTTTAAATAAAAGCTGTTGTGCAGTGTTTTAATTGTCTTTGGTGTTTTGTTATTCAATTTCGAGATCAAATCATTGTCATTGACGCTCTGTTTTTATCAAAGAGCATATCAGTTGTTTTACAGATTGTTCTTGCTTGTCGAGTTCTCTCTCTAGTCAAGCTTTTGTTCAATATATCTTCCAAAAAATCCTTTTTTAAATTGAAATATGAGTCGTTTTCGTTTTGTTGTTTAAATGCCTAATATTTATTGGGGCTACCAGATTGGTTTTATACCCTTATTTCCCTAGTAGCGTCATGGTGTTTTTCATGTAGATAGTTATCTGTGATTGGCTAGATAGCAATTTTTGTTCGGTTTCATGGAATATACTTGATGTGCCTGTGGTTCAACAGTTTTCTTAGATTTCTCTAGTTTTTAGCGGTAACTTTTGACGTTATGCCTTGTTATTTTCTCTTGAAGCATTTGAAGACTTCAGTGGTTGGAGCAGACTGATGTCATCATTGATATTTTGTTGTTTTAGCTTATATGGTTCTAGATTTTCAATCTATGCCTTTTTACGGCGAGAAGAGATAAGATAAGTCGTAATTGTTCTTTTTTTTTCTAAAAAAAATAGTGTTATGCACAGAAACTGAGAGTGTTCAGCACAGTAAATTTGATTCTCTGCGATATACTGCACCGTTAAGAAGCTACTAATATAATGATCTCACCGAGGCTGCTCTTGTCGTTTAGTCGTGGTGTTCTTCAAGTAAAATATAGCGCTCGGCTAATTCACCAACAAATCCATCCTTTTCTTGAAAAATTCGATTTTTATCGGCTAGGAAAAAGCACGCAGATGTTTGTTCCTTTTTAATTTAAATTGCAACTTGTCCTATCATACCATTCGATGGCCGGCTGTGTCAAACACTACTTTTTTGAAAACGGTGTTATAGCTTTTTTAGAAGTGATGTTTACCCAGGCGGAGCTCAAACGTTTTTTTTTTAGAAAATGATTTCTTTTGACGGTGTAATATAATGCTAGTCGTTCGAAATTTTTGTTTGTGAGTTGATGCTCACTCATCTGGGCTTCGAAAGATATAAAGGTTTGAGATGACCATTTAAAAGTAAGCATTTTTTCAGTTTACTAACTTACAGTAACAGAAAAAGTATTGCTTAGATCGATTTGGGTTTTGTATATACAACGTTTATAATTGTATCAGACGGTATCGGTTATTAATAGGTGTCATTAGACGAAATGAAGGCAAAGAATTATATATATATTTTCGTTTTTGTAACCCGCGCTGGAGCTCCATCTATAATAATCCATTGTATTAAAAATGTTTTGACTGTGACCTTAAAAATCAAATAGAATTAATTTATGCTTCGTTATAATAAATTGATTATAATCAACACTCGAAAGTTGAATTCCGTTTCTGTAAAGACACGTTGCATTCGTTAAATTGAAATATATTTTTGACTTCCATTAGAAACTGGTTATCTTTTTTCTGTTCACAAATGATTTTGTGGCAATGAAGTAGTGTCCAGTAGTCAAAGCGCCAATGGACGTAGTGACGACAATCATATAGGTCGTGATGCTTTTTTTTCACATAGGAAGTCTGGGAATTGATCAGCCTAAAATTTATTTTTTTTTGGTTGTTGGAAGTTTGTTTTCTTTGTTTATTCAATTCATTTTCATTCAGTAAAAGTAAAGAAATTTACGATCTCCAATTAAGAAAGTGGAAAGGGTGCTTGACTAACCTTTAGGTGTGAATGTGGATTTAAATATAAAGATTTTCCAGTGGAATAAAAAATACCTATCGATCCAGTTCTCTATAATTGGGCTATTTTTTTTTTCGAAAAAAGTAAAGATCATGAAATTTCATGAATTATAAAAAGCTTCCGCGGATATATTTCTTCTACCAGTTTTGAAACTTTCAAAACAGTCAATCATTTCAATAGGTTTCAGCTATTTGAACCTTTTCTAAATGTTTTTTTTTCTATATTTATATATTTTACTTCCGGTTCTAATTTATTTGTTCTTAATCACATTTCCTTTTCCCATAGACACATCCAACTCCTCGGTCACCCTCGTCCGCGTTTATAACCCTCTCCACATTCTGGCGTGTAGATTTTTGATGTCTCTTATTTAGTCAAGCTCATTGTTTGTTTTGATGGTGTGATTTTGACTGCTTTACAAAAGCGAGCTTGCAATAGCTTTGTTTGTAAATTACTACGCTTTTTGAATATATAGTTTCCGTGAGCCATTTTTAAAGCGCTTTCAATATATCGTCGACCTGAGCTCACATGCAAAAAGAAAGTTAAACTGGCGGTATTTTTTCCTTATTTTCAGATGAGGAAACAGCTTTGGAAAGATTATGGTCAAAATCATGTTTTAAATGTATTACTTCCGCGTAGAAGGAAATCAGTTGTGTTGCTATTTTCTCAGGCTCATGCTCAAGCAAGCCTTTGAAACATGTTTGGGGTCATTTTTTAACTTGCGAGAGCAAGTGACTTGAAATCGGGAATTAGACTTTTTTCATATAAACAACTTTTCTTAGAAATGCTGCTGGCATGCTCAATTTGAGGTAGTATTTGTTTCCATTATTTTTACTGCGAAAAAATTGTTTTTTTTTTAATTTGGTTTTCAGCTTAATTTCTGTCGGATGATTTTCCGTTTTTTAATTTGGTTTTCATCTTAATTTCTGTCTGCTGATTTTCCAAATGCAATTTACATTATCTAGTACGCTTTTCAAGCAGTTTTTTTCCTAAGCTTTAGTTTTTTTTGGTTTTCAATAGAAATTGGCTTTATAGTTTGGAATTTTTCTTGGTTTAACCGGAGTTCGGCTTATATTATATCGGCTAAGTCAATTTCTGATGCTTAGTTTTAGGGGTTATTTTTAAGGTTTTGCATATTTCAGTAGGGATGGGTCGAAAAGGTTTTGATTGCTACTAAGCGCAGCGTAGTGTCAGATTACGGTGACCTAATTTGCATATAAAGGTCCTCATTATTTAGTGGCACATTTGCATTGTTATATCTTGTTAGATTTTGTATCTGACATATTGGTGGCCAATTCCTGTTTGATAAAAAAATCCATGTTTGATAGTTTAAAATGTGCTCGTTTTTTGGATACTCTTGATTTTTGGAAACGTTTTGGTCGACATGTTTAAAGACTTGTCTCCGGAATCCAGGAACATACAGACACAAATTGTGCGCCTATCCAGTGCACAGTTTGGCGTCGTAATGTTCTGTGCAATTGCTTATGTGTACCTAAGAATTTTTCGGATCCAATTTTTTGAAAGTTCAGGTTTTCTTAGACAAACTTTGTTTTTAAATTTTCTTCCCAGTTTTAGGAAATATGAAAAATGAAAAAAAAAAATGGAAATTGGGAACTTTTTTTGGTTTTCTTGAGCCCATTGGCACTTCTAGCTCTCTGGTGACTAAGTTTTGTATTTTTTGGTCTCTGAGTGTATTCTAAATTTCGAAAGCACTCATTGTTTGTATTGAAATCCAGTATTTTGAAGCCGCGATATTCTGATGTCATGATTTCATTTCGGTTTTTCAAGATTTCATTTTCAAAAATGTCTTCAAGATCATGTTATAAACAACACGATGAACTTTTTCTCTGCTAATCTAAGCATCGCTTGTGTTTTGTTACCAGTCCACCAATCTTAACTAGGAGAGTTCGTTGCACGTTTTTTGTGCAATGTTAATATGATTTGTTTTTTGAGCAGTGTTGAGATTCATGTGCTTAGTTAAAGCGCAGTCAACATTGCTTGTATGTGAATTTTTTTCACGACCCATGGCTAAATGCAGGTGATCGCTACTCTGCAGGTACTTCCTTGGTTCGAATCATGTAGTCGGCGGTTGTTTATTTTTTCAGGATTGTTTTCTCTCGCAGCAATTCTTAGTATTTCGTAGAACTTTTAGTGCAGCTTCGCCTCTGAATAATTTGTGGTGATTTTCGAAGCAAAGTGTTTCCTTAGAAAATTTTCATTCAAATTTCTAAACTTTTAATGCTTTTTTTGGTCGTTTTATGAGTTTTTTGACCCTTGTTTCATTGGCTGCAAAATTCGTTTTGAACTCAATGACAATCTTATCTCAACAATTTTTCCTTGTGTGCTTCTAGTATAGAAATGGTACTCTGAATGAGCGTTGTTTCTATCCATTTTATTTTTAATTCTAATAAACAACTGAATATATTTTAATGATAATTCGAAGCATTTTTGCGTTTTATCAAAATATCTTCAGGTCGATTTGATGTCGACCAAAGCCAGTTCATCCAAGTCATCGCCGAGTGGGCCTAAGCGCGAGCGAATCGAGCGATCAAACTCGTCGAGCCAGTCGCAAGAATCTGACTTCCTCGTTGCCCTTGGTCGACAGATCAAAAACGACGCTCTGAGAGATGCAGCCGGGACGAAGCAAAGATTGGAGAAGCTTGTCCAGTTTTTGCTGAATGTACACTGGCCATTCAGGTAAAAGTAGACAGGAAGAGGGGTCCCTAAAGTACGTCATAATTATTATCAGAATGTGAAGAATGATCATCATATGGCCTCCTGGATGAATAAAATCAGACTGAGACGTGGACAAACTTGAAATTTTCTTACCGAAGTCGTTTTGGGTGATCTTAACTTGGGCCTGAGTTAGAATTGTCAGTCAATTTTAATCAGCTTTTTACCCGCAGATCTAAGCTTTTTTTCAAATATAAATTCCTGTTTGATAAAAACAGGTATTATGAAAATGTATGAGAACGGGTTTTTTATTTTATTTTTTTGAGACGCCGCTTTGGAAAAATTTCCATTCAAAAATTTAGTTTTTCTCAAACTACTCTACCGAATTTTAAAAAAAGGGGTACCAATGGTAAGTCTGCCCACTTCCCTGTGTATCTGCATACTCGCCTTATCTATTTTTACATAACCCCACTTTCTACAGCCTCCGAAAAAGAGCGTGGGGGGAATTTTTGACCCATATTTTTGGATTATTTAAACGCATATTATCATCTTACCCATATTTTTGGATTATTTATCGGATAGTTTGGCTTCAATGGATAAAACAGGTTGTGGGAAACACCCCTGCATTAGCGGCTACGCCTTTTTTTAAACACAAGTTATGGCCCTTAGAAAAGACTTTTTTTCGAAAACTACCCTCCCAAATCTGAGATTTCAGTTTCAAAATAAAGGGCGGCTTGTGAGGAGCTCCCCTGTAGTAGCAGTTATATCAAAATTTTTTCACACAAAAAGTTAAGAACCTCAGAAAAGTCTAACTTACGATTTTTTGCCGTTTTTTGAAACTTTTCGACTCTTCTCGAAAAATACCCTCCCAATCAGTCCCCCCTTTGCACAATTTTGTGATATCCATTTTTGGCGATGGACCCTAAAATTTTTTTAAAGGCGCCAATATATACTAGTTTTGAAGGGGGAGCGCGCGCCGAAAAAACGCGATTTTTTGGTCAACATTTTCCAAAAAGTGCCTAAAAACTCGTTTTTTCAAAATTTTGCTTGGCGCGCAGAAAATTTGGCCAAAATAGGGGCAAAGCAGTGCTTTGAGAGAGCTCGAAAAATCAATTTGGTCGACCTAAAAAAAGGTCGACAAAATTTTCGAATTTTTTTTTTGAAAATCCGCCAATCCCCCCCCTCGAGTAAATCCTAGATCCGCCCCTGCTCCCAATCTAAGGTTTTGGTTTCAATGAGTAGAAGGGGTTGTGGGAAGTTACGCTGCATAAATGATTACGCCTAAACTTTTTTACACAAGAAGTTATGTCCCTCTGAAAAGTCAAGTTACCCTTGTCCTTCCGCATCAGTACAAAAAAATTATAAACAGGTATTTCCAGCTTTAGCTGGCCTCTAGTTAAATAGTGCGGTGCAAGCAAGATATTAATGTGGTCTCTTACTGCGGGGGTATGTTAATTTGATCCTGAGATGCTTCTTGCAGCTGTTGAAAAATTTGCGGTCAGTATCGTATATCATATGCGTACATTGAGTATGTGTTGCAGCTTCGAATTGAGTGTGAGTAAGATGAATGAGATGTACCCCTGTCCCTCTATCTACTCCTTCGCAACAGACGAGGCCAGATTCCTCAACACCCAATGCATCAACTACATCATCTGCCATGGAGACACCATGCAAACATTCAAACAAGTTAGTGTGCTATTAGTAAATATCATAGAGGAGGACCTGTGTAGACGTTTAATGGAAATTCGGTTCATATTGCTGAACGCTGTGCTGTAGGCTTAATCTATATTTCCAATAAATTGGCATTCAATCAAAGTGTCTCTGTGGTTTTCCTATCTAATCGATAAAAATACTGTTTTCAATAGGGTTATAGGGAAATGACAATTCTATCAAATAATTTTTGAATCTTTTTGAAGTTTCACCACTACTACTCATGTTTTTATCGTCGCGTTGGTTGACGTGCGTAGGAGTTGCAAGTGTTCGATGACTCGAAAGTGTGTGGTCGAGTGTGGAAGCACAACTTCTTGGCCTACAGATGCAAGACGTGTGCCCTGTCGCCTTGTATGTCCCTATGTAATGAGTGCTTCCATCAGGGAGACCACAAAGGTCATGACTACAACATGTTCCGCAGTCAGGCGGGTGGTGCCTGCGACTGTGGAGACGAGAATGTGCTGCTACCGTCTGGGTTAGTTAGCTACAGCAGCGCATATAGTAGGTTTCTGCGCCTCAGGCAATTTAGCGAGATAACGAGCCCAAACTGTCGTTATGAACGTTTTTTTTTTAGAAGTTTCCATGAAGATAGCTTCTTAACTAATTATTTTTTCGCTGGTTCACTAAATGAGAAACCTGTCAAACATAAAAGCAGAGTTTGCGCCTAATTGAACAGCGCAGATCTGTATGTCGGTGTCCCACTCTTTTACCCCACGTTATACACCCCTAATTTATTACCCCGAAACAAGATAACCCCACAACAATTTAACCCCCTTTTAATACCGATAGTTTATTAAGTTCTTTAAAAACTACAGTATTATTCCAATTAAGTGTACTAATTGAAGCCCGAGAAGCCATTCTTAGTTCACTTGATGCCTCTAGCATCTCAAAAATAATTGCATTTCGATAAGCTAAAGAAATAATCCCTCATTCACGCGTTTTAAAACACATAACCTACATGGTTCTAATTGAAGGCGACAAGAATTTGAAAATTTTTACTTAAAATGATACTGCCTTACACTTGAGCGATTGTTTTACCATTCAATGAGCTATAATGCTTGAAGCGTCCTTCCACGTTATTGTATCTTCCAAAGAAAAACAAATAGTGGTATCAGGCCGCGAGTATCATCTTAAACTTAAGAACAAAACCACTAAAAACTGGAACTCCTCAAAATACAAAGCTCGTAAATGCCGAGCTGCGCCAATTACGGATGGCGAAAAATTTTTTTTGAAACGAGGGGTGAGCATAATCATGACATATCTACGGGAAAACATGATGCTCGACTAGTTTGAAAAATATCAAGGAACTGAGCGAGATTAAAACCCCAACCGTCGCTGTCGCCAGAGCAATTCAAGCTTATAATATACGATATTGCCTCTCACTTAGCCCCATTAACTGAAGAAATTTTTCTTCGAACTGCACAACACATGCGCAAGCAACGAGAAAAGGTTTTACCAGTCTCCCCAGCAACCAGAAATTTCACAATACCCTAGGTTTTCAAAAACTTAGTAAGATTTTGACTGGACAAATTGATCAAGAAATAATTATTTTGATCGGCAAACCTGAAGTGCTATGTGTGCTCGAATAATCAAATTTTTTGTTGGCTGACGGAACTTTCAAAGTCGCCTTTACTCTATACATCTTGTTCTTTCAGGAATAGCCCCGGCTTGCATATATGCCTTCTTTCCGAATGAAACGGAAAAAACATACCACCGTTTCTAACCGCCTAAAAAAATTAAATCCTTAAAAAAAACCTGAGAGAATTGTTAGATTTCGAGCAAGCCGCTATTCAAGCTCTTCAGAAAAACTTCCCTCAAAATTATCTGTCAAAAATTGCTTAACTCGGATTAAAGTGTGGGTACGAAACAAACCACTAATTTGCATTAGCATTCAAGTTGTTACCCTCACTGGCTTTCGAAAGAAAAGAAGAAATAAGAATTTCGTACGATGAAATAGTCGAGGAAAATCATAAAGTATGTGATCGCACCACAGATGGTTCGGAAACAATCGCAAAAGTTGACAAGCTTAGCCTATATTTTGGATCTAGTTACATAAAAAGTCTCGTATCGAATCGAGAAGTACTATTCCCATTTCACTATGGATCCCCTTTCACCTTGGATGACCGTTGTGACACGGAAGGATATTGCAATCGGGTACTAGAATTCTTTTACCGTATTTAACTCTTACAGAATGTTCAAAATTAGAAATGGTAATTTTAGGTGCAGTTCACAGCAAATTCATTTTTATGCGTCTGCAGCGCACTTGGTTTGGAGTCAACGAATACGACTGGGACGGTGAAGGTCCTGGGTTAAACTCTGACAGGAACTGTTTTTTTTTTACGGAAATTATTCCGTTTTAAAGAAAATTGTCAGCTCATTGTTTGTCTGCATATGATTTGACGGACTAGTTGCCACATCGTAGGATTGTTTTTTTTTGCTCAGTTTACATAGTCGTTGCTTTTGGTGTTTTCGTTTATTTCTGTTGTTTGTAGTTTTACTAACCTTGTCAGTAAATTTATTGTTTTTTTTTTCGCTTAACACTTTTTTCTGCCCAATTGATTTGATATTTTTTTGGCTAATTGACCTAATTTTGAGAAGTTTTAATCGAAACATTTTTGCTCTTTTCTACATTGAATAATTTGCTAAAATTTTAATAGCAATTATAGTTTGTTTTCATGTCAACATTTTTTTCCGGCTGGATAGGTTTCGGCTAATATTTTATCGCCTGAATGGCCCCATATTGCGTCTCAAATTTTGTGTATGTGTGTGTATGTTTTAAGGGCGAGGGAAGTCAAAGTATTTAATAGTCTTAATTTTTTTGATATTTTGTTTCGGCTGTTTGATTTTCTTGTTTTCCTTTTTTCAGGTGAATAGATTTCGGTGTTCTTCCCCTCCCCGCATTTCAATTTCAAATTTGCAAATTTTTTTAAGGTTGTCATAATATAATGCAATTTAGCATGTCGAACAATTTAACAATTGTGAACACATTTGTTTTTCATACTTAAGATTGTCACCACGATTTCGGCTTATTTTATATCGGCTAAGCGACCAGCAAATGAAGTTTGGTGCTTGTGTGCTTTGAGGGTGAAGGATACTTCCTAATTTTTTATAAGTCAGGTTAATTTTTAAAGGCTTTGTGCTACCGTATTTTCAGCTTTGTAACCGCTTGGTAAATCTTCTTCTGATGTTAGTTTCACATTCTGTTGTCATGGTATATTTTTTATTTATTAGCTTAATTCGTTGTTAAAGATATTGTTTTTTCAACATTTTTGATTTTTTCCCAATTTAGCGGCTTTTTGTGCTGTATCGCAAGTGGTGCGAAGCGCAGCTTCTACTCTGTTCATTTTGATACAGCTAGTTTTTTCGACTTGTTTTTTTTTCAATTTTCCCGTTTGTATCGCAAGTGATCCGAAGCGTGGCTTCGCCTCTGTGTTTGGTCTTCTTTTTTATCTAACCATCCTCGAAGATATTGAGCAGAGTTGTTGAGGCTCGTTTAAATTATAACACCAGCCACAGCTCGCAAAAAAAGTTATAAGACCAGTCCATAATTTGCGTGTGTTCGAGATGAGTAGGTTTGTTTCAGTTTTTGTGTGAACCATGGTCACCAGAAGCCAGAGAAGGGAGCGCCGGACAGACTGTTGTCGACGGCCAAAGTCATCATTCCCCACTTGCTGCTCAGACTGGTCAGCTCTCTCCGCCAATACGAAAGTGAGTGCAGGAGGCTGGACCACAGTTGAAAGCAAACAGTTGCTCAGAATATTGCGGCCAGAATTTGATGAATTTTAAACGAACTCCAAAAACAGTTTGTTTTAAATGAACTCCAAAAACAGTTTGTGAACTCTAAAATTGTGTTTTAATCCGTTTTTTTATATAAAATCAGAAGCTGAACACTTGACACTTTGCTTCAGATTGTGTTTAAGGGTTGAAAGATGTCATTTCACATAGGAAGCGAAAATTTTGTTACTCTTCAGCTCGACATCGATGTTCATATTTTATATTTTGACAAAGCGCGACCGATTAATTAAGAGTAATGGACGAAGTGAGTACTCTTATATAGGTCTTGCTGATTTTTAAAGTTTTTTTAGGAAAAAGTCTTAAAATTTGTTCACGCTCAATTTTGAATTTTTTTTGCGGTTTGACTTGTGATTTCTTGCTAAGTTCAGTGCATTTCTATTGTTAAAAGGAAGGCAAACTCCATTATCGAAAATCGTATATGTCACGAAAAACGTGATCGATTTCTAATTTCGAATATGAAAATTAATTATCAGATTTCCCAGCGAAATAAAAGTTTTACCTATTGATCCAGTTTTCTCAAATCATAAATTGTTCTGAAAATTCGGGGGCGTTAGACAGTGCCGAAGTTAGAGAGTGCCGAAAAAGGCGGGAAATATTGGAACGCAATTTAAGAGGCTAGCTTTTGGCGGGAAAATTAATAATGACACTTGAAACTTGTTCAGACTCAATTTTGGCGCCAAAATCGATGAGCAAACAAAACTTTCTTTTCTTTTCTCAATTAGTTCACGACAAATAAGTCAGTTTCTTTCATTTTCGGCACTCTTTAACAAATTTTTGTTTTCGGCACTCTTACTTCGGCACTGTCTTACCCAACCGAAAATTCTCCATCATAAGTTTTTCTACAAATTGAAAGAGCTTTAAGGCCATCTAATTTTTTTAAGTTTCCTTGCGTTCATGGCTATTTTCCGACTGTCAGTTGGCTATGTTTTAAATAATGTAAACAGCAAAAAATTGGCTGGCATCTAGTTTATTTTTGTAAAATTCATCATTTGGTCCTATTTGTAGCGCAACCAGATAACGTTTTTTCGTGTTAGTTACAGTTTCGCCGAGGAATTCGGTGGACGACAAGTCTCTGGATTTCAACAGTATTGTGGCATGGCTTGAAGAGCTAACTCTTCTGGGACAGGCCATGAGAAAAACGATCACCCAGTTGATGCTGTGCCAAGAGACCTATTTGGAGATGACAAAGTGTATGTATTGGGACTCGATTGAGCTCATTCACGGTTTTAGTGCATTTTTTCTTCTGTATCCTAGAGTTTATTGCGACTTCTGTAACTGTTTTTTGGCTAACTAATTGTGTAACCAGTAGTTTTACAAGGATCTCGAGGCCAAACCGTTTGGTTGCTAAGTTTCATAACTTATATTGCGTTCATTATACTTTATGGCATAATGAACTCATAATGAACTTAAATTGCGTTGTTTCGAGGGCAAAAATTCCTGTTCGGCAAAATCAGGTATTATTACACTTGCGAGAGCAAGTGTTTTGAAATCCGGAACACGACTTTTTCCAGTAAACAACTTTTCTGGCACGTTTTAACTTCTCGTTAACTTGCTTTTTTATTGAACCTTCACAAATCTAGTTTTCTTCTCACTTGGCCTAGAGTTAAAGCCGTCGCTTTTTTACCCTAAGGTCTGAAGTTCGAGTCTCGGCCGGACCTTTTTTTTCAGTATATATAGTATTGTAAATTTTTTTTCGGTTAAAACTGAATTGTTGGACTTCCGTTATTCTGTTAAACTTTTTTTTGCCTTAGTTGTCACATCGCAAATTTTGTTTGTCCTGTAAGCAGCTTTCAATTCAAGTGCAAGTATTGTACTTTGCAAGTTAAAGGAGGTGGACTTGAAACTTCTAAATTTTTTTCTATGTCACTTTGTTTTGTTTTTCGGCTCCACAGGTTTCTGCTCAAAGGTTGTCGGCTGAGTTGCCACCACTGATTTTTTTCTTTTCTTATGCACTAAGCAATTTTTGTGGTTGAAAGTGCAATTGTTGTTCATTCTAGTCTCAGGTGATTTCTTATCTCAAGATTTTTTATGAAATTGTTTTCTCTTTAACGTGTGTCTGCTCAGAGAGTGCCGGCCTTATTTCCTCTTCGTAAATTTTGTTCCATTGCTAATTTAATTTTCAAGCCTATGCCGTGTTAGCCTAGAATGAACTTCTATCGAGATATACGAAACTTTAGTTTTTGGTAGAACTAGTTTTTTTCAACATTTACCTTTTTTTTTCGTTTACGTTTAATCGCAAGTGGTGCGAAGCTCCGCTTCGCCTGTGTGTTAAGTTTTTTTCAGTTTTTGACATTTGAGTTTCAAATTTTTTCACTCATTCGATTCTATCCCTATCTTTCAAGGCTGCTATTTCATTTGAAAAATGAAGGCCAAGCAAGCCAGAAGTCCTATCAAATCCGAAATAAATAAGCTCAAAATTTTCGGTTATTTTTTTTCCAAATTGCTAGACGCGTTTATTGTTGTACTCACTCGACTTGAGTTACTCTCTGCTACTTTTCCTGATCAATTTTTTGTCTTCCTTTAGTTGGAAGTGCTCGCTCTCAATGTAAAATTGTAACGAAAGAAGTTTTTGTTCATACGTTATTTCATTTCCAGATAACAGTGATACGTTTCCGGATATTAAAATTGCTCAATGATACGTCGTTTTTGTCTTTTTTTAGCAATTTTGTTTAATTGCGTTTTTTCGGTTATGGTAATCAACTCTATTTCTATAAACTTGTTGTTGTGTGACCGATAATTTTTTTAGGAATTAATATCAGCGTTTGTTTTCTTCAAAATCATTTGTTTTTTCTTTGCAGCGTCTCTTTCTGGTCTATATATCTTTATTAGGTTCGAGTTTTATCGAGCATTATTTTTCTAAGCAAGAAGAATAATTATGAGATTTTCAATTGGCTTGTAATTGTTTTTGACCACTTAATCCCGACCATTCAAACTTGGTTAATCTAGTTTTAATTGGCCGATATTCTGTTTTATTCAAAGTTGCAATATGCTGCGACATATTTCAGACATACTTGGCAGTTGAAAATGATCATCCATGCAAGCAACCCAATAATTTATTTCAGATCTAGAGACTGTGGCTAACCCGGAGAGGCTGTCAGATCAGCTGTTCGCACAAGAAGAGTTACTGAACTACCAGAAAAGCAGAGGATGTTAGTTTTATTGGATATACTTGGCAATCCTTCTTAGTACATCAGGTGTTCACAAATCATTTTTTGGTGAAAACATCTTAAATAAACATCATTGCTTTTCTATATTGTAAAATTTCTTTTTGAATGTGTCAACTTTTCTAAACATATGTAAAAGAGTTTAAAACTGGCAAGTTGGTATAAATTGTGCAGATGATGTGGTGATGAAGTCGGGCCCCCCTCTGAGGGTGTTTCCGAACAAAAATTTCATCGAGGAGATCTTCTTCTGGGGTGTGGTGTATGGACTACCAGAGCCACTAACCACTTTCTTCCTCAATCTGCTACCAGATCAACAGTACAAGGTAGGTCGAATTGGCTAAACTTTACGAGACATATTAGGTGCGACTGTTTGAGCTTAGTAAGCAGAAAAAATCAATTTTATGTTTAAATGCCGGCTTCACTATCTCTCCATGATTAATTTTTTTCAACGTTTGTTTTTGCATGCTCAAAGAACGAGTTTTAGCAAGTTTAAGCTATTTCGTGCAATGCTTGAGAAATATTTAACGGGCTTTTCACTTGACATAAGTTTAAAAGGTCTCTATGTTGAATTTAGCTCTATGTTGAATCTAATGGTGGGTTGATGCCAGGGTTTTCACACGGGTTGCAAATCTTGCTTCGAAATGTGACAGATGAAACCCTTTTAGTTTCCGAGATATAACGTTTTTTATGGTTTTTATGGTATAAATATGAAATCCCCAACCCTTTAGTTGGGTGGTGTCAGGGTTTTCTCAGTGGTTGGAAGTCTTACTTTCTAATGTGATTGCTCATATCCGTTTAGTTTCTCATATACGACATTTCTTATGATATTTCAAAAGTTTTCACAAATTTTATATACTTTAACCTACCAAAGACTTTAAAAATTTGAAAATCTCGACCTTGTGGCGTTTTGCTGTCAAATTGTTCGCAGATTTGGTCTAAAACTTTGATTGCTCAGTTTCTTTCAGTCCTTGAATATGGTGTTTTTTAAATGTTTTCGAAAAAGTTTGACATTAGTTTTGTTGTGGCTTAACCCTCTGTTGTGCTTAAACCTTAGTTAATTTTTTTTCTAAATTTTGTTTTCACTTTTCATGATGTTTTTAAGTAATTACGCTGGATCAAACGATTGATAGTAGCAATTGATTTACGTACAGGCTAAGGAAAATAATTAACTAAATTGAACAATAACCTCTTTTTCTGAAATTATTGATTTTGCAAATGAAAGCTTTTCAGAAGTTTTTAGGACGTGAAAAGTTATGTTGTGTACGGTCGGCCACTGTAAGGTTTTTTTTTTTGGTTTGAAAGTACAAACATCTGAATCCCAGTATTTTGGAGATTTGGCCGTTTTAGTGAGAAAAGAACTTTGAATGTGATTTTTTTTAATCATTAATTTTTGAATGGAAAGCGTTGGTGGCTGTTCTTACGTTTGCATTTAATTTCGTTATTTTTTGTCCCCTGCTATAAGCAAGGGCATTGCAATCCGGTGCTAGAATTTTTTCTAGTAAATAAACTTTCTTCACAAGATCTCCAATTTTTAGATCTCAACTTCCAATCTCGCCAAATTGCGTGTCAGCACTTGCATTTTCATTAATTGGTCTAGAGCTTCTGAAGCGATACTGAGTTTACAGTTCAAACAATTTGTAAAAATGAATTGATCTTTCGTCGGCTTTATTGATTTTTCCCAATTTGGCAGGCTTGCTAGCCGAGTGTTTTAAATCTTTTCATATTTTCGCTAGCTAAGCCGAAAATATTAGAGCCAATTTTGGTGGCACTCAACGACTTTTTGATAGCTTTTACTTTGCTATTCGGTTAGTTGTAAAATAACACAATTACTGCTTTTTCAATTCATCAAATGAACCGGAGAAAATCTATTTGTTTCAAACAACATTAGAATGATAAAAACTAGATTTCAAAAATTTTTTCCGTCAAATTTTTTGAATTGCTTAATTTATGCATAATTTGATTTCAAGTTTTCAATTTCATTACACGCAACGTTGGTGTGGATGCCTTCAGTTTTTTATATTCGAAATTCATACATCCAAAACTGTCTGTTTGGTTTGTTTTTTGTGCCACTTTTGCTGAATAGAATTTGCAATTTTTTAGCATATGTATTTGCTATATTTGTGGCTAGTGCTAGTAAATTGTCATGGATCCGTGGTGAAGATGCGAGTACAGGGGACTCTAAATCTTCTAGTCGTTTGATCGAATACGCCACAGCCAACTTTTTAATTGTCAGTTCTTATTTTTACCTTTTCTTAGTACACTTTATAGAGCTGCTTTTTTCTTCTGTTGCTGGTGTTTGCGAAGCGCAGCTGCGCCTATTTGTCTACAAAATAAATCAACAATACATAGACCTTGAGTTCATGGACACTTCTTTCACTGGCTATATTTTTGTGAATGAGTGAAGTCATTTGCAATGCTCGCAATAATAGACTTAAGATGTAAGATTGACTCCTTTACTAATTAGGCGAAGTATGATATGCGTAGCATTCATTGCTTGTTATTTTGCTTCTGCTGAACGTTAGAGTTGGACTGGTAGACTTTCGACGGTATACTCATGTTTATAGCTAAGTTTAGCTTTTTTGCAATTTTTCTTGATTAAAGCTTGCAGCATTTTCCCAATAACGTGTAGTCTGTGTATGTAAACGTTTATAAATGTACATTCCCTTATGCATGTAAATTGCATTTATCCGTTTGCAGAATGAATTTGCGCGGGTGTTTCTGCGCCACTACCCCTCCCTTACCCACACTCTCCTCAGCAGTCCCTCCCGCATTGACGCCATCGGAAACAACATCGTCCATATCAGTGTGCAGCTGTTCTCCAACGAGTCTCTAGCCCTCGAGATGGTGCTATCCGACGAAGACCTGCTGCATGTGCTCCTTACTTGTCTAACGTACATGGTACAACAGCTCAGTGTCCAGTCTTCCCTTTTCGAAGGAGGTCAGTGACATTGTTCAGTTTGAAAATGGCCGAAACAAAGATCAATGTAATTACCACTAAATTATTATCATGGCTTAGTTTATATGTAATTTGTTCTCGTTTTTTTTGTATATATTTAACGGTTACGTATCAGTATTTAGACAACCGCGTATTCAGACACTGTATTTACCAATCAGAATCGAGACAAGGAGGAAATGAAATTCATTTCTTCCTTGTCTTTATTCTGATTGGTTAATACAGTGTCTGCATACGCGGTTGTCTAAATACAGACGGCACTCCAAATTTAACTCTTATATACTGAACTGTCAGTTTTTGGGCTCGAAAATCACTTTGAAGAAAGCAAACTTTATTTGGACGTTTTTTATTGCGAGGGGATCAAAAGTATTAGGGGGATCCAACGGCTTCAAATCAATTCCAATATGAAAAAAAGTAAGTGAGCAAAAAACTGTTTGGCACCATAAAATGTTTTGTATTTAATTAGAACTTAAAATTGCTTGTTTAAAGTAATTCGTAATCGATCTTAGAGTACCACTCGACCGTGGACGTTTCCATGGAAGTGGTGTCCAGGCACTGCTACTGGTCAATATTCTCTGACTTCCTCAACCTCCTCGCCCACTCGTCTGTCGTGGCGGTGTTCCTCCGTTGCACTCCCCTCATGCGCAAATATTCCCAGATCTTGGAGAGCTTCACAGGTAATGAATTCAAATCGAAACTGATATCTGTCACTCGGCTGTAAAATTTGAAGTAATGTTAATTCTGCTAATTGCCACTTGACAGGTATGGATGTGCAGAAGAGGGCTCTGTTCGAACACATTGAGTACGAGAGTGGCAATTACTTGACTGCATTCAGTGTGGAAATTGAAGCCTGTGCTTCCCCCATTTGGTCTCTTGTTTATCACCACTCTCTCATCGTACGTTAAACCAAAACTTGTATTAACTGGACTAAATCTACCACTTGATCCAATAGTAATTGATGCTTACACCTTATTTAGTCTTTTGTCTTTGTACTCCTTTGTCGTTCGCCTCTCCTCTCCCACCCACCAACGACAAAAAAAATCCATGTGAGCCATCGATATTGCAGGGTTATACATGAAGATCAATCTGTGTGGGATTTAGCAATTAGAAGTTAAAGGAGCCGATCTTTGTTTATAGCTGGACTATCTTTTGACTTTTTTTAACTTTTAAAAGGTCATTCCATAATTAAGAGTGATGAACGTAGTGAGTCTTGCTAATTTTTTCAGGAAAAAGTCTTTGTTCACGCATAATTTTGATTTTTCGCGGTTTGACCTGTGATTTCTTTTTATTTTCAGTACATTTCTTTTGTTAAAAGGAAGGCAAACACCACTATCGAACAGCAAAATTTTTAAGGTCAATAAAAGCGTGACCGGCTTGTAATTTCGAAAATGGAAATTAATTGTCAGATTTCCCAGCGAAATAAAAGTTTTACCTATTGATCCAGTTTTCGCAAAAAGGGTTGTTTAAGAAAAAAGTGTCCGTCATAAATTGTTCTGCAAACTCAAAGAGCTTTAAGGCCATCTAATTTTTTCATCGAAATTCAAAAATTAAGATTTTTGAAAAAACGTCGATTTTTTTTTTCAGTTTCCTTGCGATCATTAATCTTTTCGAACTGTCAGTTGGCTATGTTCTAGCTGCTTAGGAAGATCGGCTGTTTGGGAATTGCTAATAAAACCGGCTTGCCATCTATGGTATAGCTTTGCCTGCCTGCATATTTTAGATTCTGAAATGTAAACTCACCCTAAAACAACAAGCACGGATCGTGAAGCATATACAGAGCCTCGAAACTCCGAATATACAATTAAGATACGGATACGTATATCATTGCACCTTCCCTTCCCTAACGATTTAATCTTTTGGTCGTCAGAATCAACATTTTTTGTGTATTTTGACCCTTTTCAGAATAAAAAGAATAGCCTGGAATTGCTGCGGATTCTGCACACGGATCTGCTCGATACCATCACAGCCCTCGGTATCAACATCGACTCAAAGCAGGTTGGGCTTTTACACACTCTCCTAACACGCAGATATTAATTTTAAATCCTTTCACGTTGTCATAAGGCATTAGCCCTTTTTGCGTAACATGATGGAGGCCTGGGAACAGCAGATGTGTGCATTTCAGTACCCCTACCCCCATAGTATACTCACCATTTTGAGCACATTTGTTTTGCACACATTACATCGTAATATCACGAATATAGTAGCAAAATTAGGCGCAATCCATATCAAAATGGAAATTAACCCTTACTTGACATGGAGACCTCACTTATTGTTTTGAGTCTGATGCTGTCGGATGAGGCTCGTGAGAAAGTGAATTCTGTTTGATTTAGCCAATTTCGGAAAATTTGTATTGAGAACGAATAGCAGAAAGTTATTTCAGTGAATCAGAGTTGAGTATTCGACTCTTTTTGGGAATGAAAACTTGCATGAAAGATAAATCCAATCTCGGGCTAAGTTTTGGAATTCGAGTTTGGAAATTTTTTCAGTATGCTTCGGAACATCTAATTTGAAGGGGAACATTAATACCTTCTATTACAAGCTCTTGAATATGTTTTAGCTCTACCCGGACGACGTCTGTTTCCACTGGCCATTACACAGATCCTTCATCATCCTCCTCACTCGCGTGCTAAACAAACTCGACTCCCCAGAGGAAGGGAGACAGCTCAAGGACCAAATAGGCACGCTTTTACTCATCTAAGTTCCTCGCCATTCTAGCTTTTTATTGCAAAGCGAGTTATGAGGTCAGACAACTTTTTTCAACCAAATTCACAAATCATAGTGCATAATTAAGGCTTAATTGACCAGCATGATCTAACTATAACCACTTTACACTTTATTAAAGAGCGGTATTTGCTGTCAATGAACGAATTTATTTATTTCAAAAGGTCTGCGGGGCGTTACTTTTCATAATTTCTTTTTAATCTCAGTTCAAATTCATTTGCTAAATGGATGGTGATTTAATAACAAAGTCCAAAATGGAACGAAAAAACGTGAAAGGCAAACGCACAAACAAACTGTAAATTGTGTATTTTTTCTTGCTTGAAACCGATGAAGGGCTTTATCTTAATTTTGCAGGACTTAGTAAAGAGACAGTGAAGCAGGTGATGTTTGCTCCCCTACACCTGTTGTGTAGAGTGAATGAGATCATGTGCAATGTGTGGGTGCGCAATGGACACTCGGTGATGCAGCAGAGTGTCACCTACATGCAACCGCATTTTAGCCACTCTCTTGTAGACGCCGATCTTCTATTCGTGCAGGTGTCAAACATTAGTCGCTTTTATCTTTTTCTATTATTAGACGGCCCAAACATAAAGATAAGAAACTTCGTTCTTCAGACTTGACTCTGCTTTTTTTGAATTAATTCAAAAAATTGAGTTCAACCAATCAGAATCATGCATCAGGCATTATCAACCTATCAAGCATTAGGTTAAAATTTTCAAAAAACCAGAAATCTCAATTCTGGACTGTATATCAATAAAGAAACGTTGCTTTTTTTAAATTAAGTTAAACGGATAAACAAAGGTTTTCTGAAACGAACTTTTCCATTTTAGCTGTTTTATTACACAAGCGGATCGTAGTGTCTTGATACGAAGTGCACTTTTTTTGTAACCGAAGTCGCAAATACTGGTGCTAATTTTGGTGGCACCAATTTTTTTCCTCAAAACTGGTTAAAATGCCGATGGAAATACCTTCCACTCAACTGTTTGCCGCTTATTTTGCTATTCTCGTTTTACCAAATCACACGGCATTCGAAACTTGCAGTCGGGGATTTTTGACGCATTTTTCGGATTTTTTTTTTCATTTTCTCAAAACTACCCTATCAAATCTGAAATCATCAAAGACTGCAAATAACAGAAAATGTGATTAGAGTCGCAAATGCATAAGCTACTACGTCTTGTTTTTGTAGAAAATATTTATGGCCTTAGAAAATGCCCAAATTTATGAACTGTTGGTCGTTTCTTCGAACTTATTTTTTTCTCGAAATTTACTGTGCCGAAAAGCAATCTGAGATCAAACGTTCAATCGCAAGAAACTGTGTTAGGAATCCTCATTGGATAATTGATGACAGCTACCACTTAGTTTTGTGGAAAAATTTTATAAAAATGAATTGTCTTATTTTGAAATTTTGACCGTTTTTTAAGATTCTTTTGATTTTCATTACACAAGCAATGCCTGTGTTATAGTATGAACTATCTTTTTTGTTAACCTAAGTCGCAAATATTGTTGCGACGCAAATATTGTTGCGATAAAACGTGTTGATTTTGAAAGTGTTCATTTTGATCAATAACCAGCTATTAAGTACAGCCAATGCTAAGGATTTTAACACAAGACTATAATTGTTCCGACTTTCGTAACAAAATATTTGTGCTCGGGGTGGTTTTTTTTCAGATAAATTTCGACTTTTTGACAAGCCATTTTTGACGGGATTTTTTTATCATTGAAACAGTATTGTTGTACTGAGTTTAAATTGGGAAAGATGTTTCCCCTGTGATCATTTTTCTTCAAGCTATGGGGGTTCAAAAATTGCCATTTCGGCCAATTTGGGACAATTAACGCGCGACATGTTCGCGCTATTACCGCGGAAGCGGAGGTTTAATCCGTCATAGAAATTGTTCCAAATTGGTTGAAGGAAGCTTATTTCTCATAATTGATTTGTAACTAGGAGCAAAATTTATCACTTTGTAATTAATATGGCGTGTGGGGGGATGATTTTACAAAAACTCTCAAAATAAAATCATTTTCCTTTTATTTTTGTTACATTTATTTTTTTCATGTTATTACTGCTCAGTAAATTGAAGCATATTAGTTAATAAATTTCTTTTTTTTTTTCAAATTGACTGCTAATGCGGCATAATTGGTGTGCGTCACTTAAGAAGTTTTGTAGACTCCCAGTAGCGTTCTCGGTCATATTTTTGCTTGTGTTTGCGAAGTGCAACTTCACATCTGTGTCCTAAATCATTCTTCCCAATTTGAAATTGAGGGTTCAATCGAAATAAAAAGTAGCAGTGTTTCTGCCTGCATAAGCAGCTACGCACTTACTATTTGTAGAAAATTAGTTGACTTAAAAAAAAGACCGTTCTTTGGAGTCTTTTTATGTTCCTCTAAAATCATTCTTCTCAATCTGACATCTAGGGTTCAATCGAAATAAAAGGTAGCAGTGTTTCTGTCTGCATACGCAGCTACGCACTTACTATTTGTAGAAAATTAGTTGACTTAAAACAAGACCGTTCTTTGGAGTCTTTTTATGTTCCTCTAAAATCATTCGTCCCAATCTGAAATTGAGGGTTCACTCGAAATAAAAAAGAAAAGCATTTCTGACTGCATAAGCAGCTACGCACTTACTTTTTGAAGAGAAATCATTCTGAATTTAAAAAAAAGCTACTTTCTGAAATTTTGACCATTTTTCAAAAACGTTCATTGGAAGCTACCCTGCCAAATCTGTGATTAAGGGTTACATTGAAAAATTCAAGTGCGCAAAATGTTTGTGCTCTTTCTTTTGCTACAACTGTATTGTATAAAATCATATTTGGTTTAAGAAAAATGTTCAAATTTCGGAATGTTGACCGTTTGTTGGATTTTTTTGTTTTCCTGAAGAACTTCGGTGCCAAATCTGAGATTAAGGGTGAAACCGAAGAAAAGTGTAGTCACATATCCAGCATCAACGGATTCTACTTAATTTGGCAAGCAAGCAGCGTTGATGGTAATACGTGAAATATTTGATAATTCGACCAATTTTAACCTTTATGGACTTAGAAAAGGTCAAATTTTTAAGGTTTTGCTCGTTTTTTTTGTGGAAAAATTTCAATTTTTCTGTAAAATGAACCTGCCAAATCAGTTATTGGGGGTTCAAAGAAAAGAAAAGGCTGCGCATATTTTCTTTAATTTTTGAAGAAATTTTTTTGTCACAAAAAAATGTAAAAAAGTTTTGTACATAAAAAAGATTTGCCAGCTTTTTTGGAAACTTGGGTTTTCTCGAAAGCCTCCAAATCTGATATTAAGGATTCAATCAAAAGAACACATTAAGCCCGTTTTTTCTGCACAAGAGTTTGTGCCCTATTTTAATAAGTAAAATTTTTTGTGGCTTCTAAATTAATCAAGCGGAGATGTTTTACTGATTTCCTTCGCTTAAACTTTTTCTGTACTTTTGATTAACAATCAACCAAGAACTTTTCAATTTTTGACCATTTGGAAATTCCGCATAACGTTTCGCATCATTTCATTTAAATTTATTAAGTGGTTACCTCCAGCTGTAACTGGACCCCTAGTTTTTTTTTTTGCTGCATCATCATATCTTGATTGTTTTTTTTTGGGCGGCTATTGTTTGAAAACTGCGAAGTGATCATGGCGCAGACGCTAGGAATGTTGATTTCTAATCTCGGCGTCAGGTGTTCGATACCGGAACCTCGCAGAGTTTTTCGTCTCTTAGTTTTTTTTCTCTCATTTTTAGTGTTAATTTTTGAGAGCTTTTTTTGTCGCTTTTTTGCTTGTATTTGCGAATTGCAGCTTCGCCTCTGTGTGATAAAATGTTCAACAGCTTCAAATTTAGCAAGATTAAAAATTGAGCATGACAATTCGCCAGCTTGTAGTTGAACGGTTTTTCGATAGCGCAGGGAAGTGTTCTTCATTCAGACAGAGAATTAATATTATAACCTGAATTTATAAAGCAAGCCCTCAGAAGTGATATTTTGATTTAATGATAAGAAAAATGATCATCATCATCATTGTGTCTTCTTATAATTTTTCTCGATACTCAAAAGTGTTCCGATTGTTTCTCCGAGAAAACTTCTTGTCGTAAACTAGTTGAGAATTAGCCCCAACTCTAAAGTGAGTTTGGATTATCGTAACCGTTATTTCGTTAATCCTAAAATTCTCATTTCTAATGTGAGCTTGGATTGTCGCGTTTTTCGATTAAGATTTAAAAAACAGACTGCTAAATAACTATTGGTTCACAAAATCTTCTTTCAATATCGCCTATATTTTAAGTTCGCCGCCTCGTATCTCAGTGGGGACTACTTTCTCGACCGAGTGCTAGCAGTACAGGGTATGAAGCACTGGTTTTCGATAGCCGAAACAAGTGCGGAGGGCCGACTGTCCTCGGATGTCGAAATCTCCCTGGCAGAATCCATCCTCCGACTGGTGGCTCTTGTCGTAAATTCTCGCCTGTCACTGGGCATGGAGGAGGAACAGTTTTGCAAGGACGAACTGATGGCTTCATTGTCTGTAGGAGACAAGCCATACAGTCAACTCATGGACATTGTGACTGAAAAAATGAGCCATAACTTATCTGTGAGTGATCTAATGTAATCAATCACAATCCAGTTAGTTCTAGCCAATTTGAAGTTCAAATTTGAACTTTCTTTGTAGGTTTTACATGCTCTTTTTTTCCAAATGAAGTGAACAAAGATAAGAATCAATGGTAGTGATCTAAAAGGAGAAAGTCTTGGATAAGTTTGAAAAACCCCTTCCATCATTTTCGGGCTTAGTTTGAGAATTTTCTAGAACGAGTTCAAGGAAATGACGGAGACTATGATGGAGATGTTGGCAGTGTTCTCCCCACCTGGACTGGGCTCAGATGGGGTGATGCGACAGGGTATCTACCAGTTGACTCTGCAATCATGGCTTCTCAGCTTCGACCCCCTCCACACTTCCCTCCGCTCAATCAGGAAGAGTGACTTCCAGAACTCCATGCACAGATACTCAAAAATGTGAGAGGTCCTTCGCTTCATTCTTCTAAGTTTATCGTTCACATTTGACTAGTCCACTCTGGAGCTCTAGACTTTGAGAGATTCTGATCAGTATGTTTGATCCGATCTGCTCTGAACTGCCCATAGCTACTTCATGCTGTGTACTACTTTATAACTAACGGATGAATTTTTTTCTGTTTTTTTTTGTCTGCGGGTAAACATAAAATAATTTTGTCAAGGACGTACAAAAAGTGACTTCCATTCAGCCATTTTGAAAATTATCCGGGTTTTTTCTTTAGGATGGCGGATAACGGCTACTGCTCAGCGGCTGATAACCTATGGCCGCCCTTCAAACCATTGAAGCCAATTAGTTTTCATTACGAGAAGATTCTCTCCATCTTGGAATCAAAGACACTCCTCGGCATCATATTTACAGTTCTTTTCAAGGTAAGTCTCTTTCAGGAGTTCGAAGTACCACGACTTCATACATCCTAACCCCTCACTACCCAAAGATTATGGTTCATTCTTGGTAGACTAAATCGGGAACTAAGGGCTAGCGCGCCAAAAAATTCTTCCAAAAAGTGAACTGAAACGTAGTTTGAGCTACGGAAAAACAACAAAAAAATTGACTACACAAAAAAAAACGACTCTCCTAGTTAAGTCGTGCAGTTTTTTCACGCTCAACAGTTTTTTTTTGAAGCTTAACTTTGGATTTTTCGTTTTCATCAAATTAATTTGTTCAGTTTTTGCTTTCCTCGCTAGTGTTTACGAAGCGCAGCTCCGCCTTTCTGTTAACACATTTTTTCAGTCGTTTTTGCCTAAGTTTGACCAGTATGAGGAAATTCACTGAAAAAAGTTTCGGGGGGGTCAAAATACGAAGTCTAGAACATTCAAGTAATTAAAATCGATTTCTTCCTTTTAATAGTTTGACTCAGCGATTTGGTTGCTTTTTCAGGCAATTAACTCTGAGAACTCCCTCCCTGAATCTCTGTTGGCATTAGCAGTGCACTTACTCTCTCTATCCCTGGACCACTGTTCAAGAAACTCACCAGCCTCCGCAAGTAGTGCAGAAACAGTTGCAGGTGTCCAAGACAGACCCCTATCTTTCCATGATGCTGACTTTGCCTCTTGGTTTCCACATAGATCCGTCGTGGACAATTGCTCCGCTTACATAGGAAGTGTCAAGACGAAATATCAGCTCACAGGTAGTTTCTTGTTGACTTGCAAACTAGTTGTTATTCTGGGAGAAGGCCTGCTCGCGAAACATTTCAGCCAAATTGAAATCATTCAAAATGTCAGAAAATCACTTTTTTTGTCACTTTTTTTCTTTCGAATTTGTACGAACCTTCTTTTTTTCCAACCTAAGTCGCAAATATTGGGGACACGTTTGAGGCACCTTTCCAGCTTTTTTATAGCATGTGCTTTGACATTTGAATAGTTATAAATTAACACAGTTGATGCCTTTTTCATTCATCAAATGAACAGAAAAAAGTGATTTAATTAACACAGTTGATGCCTTTTTCATTCATCAAATGAACAGAAAAAAGTGATTTGTTTCAAACATCATTACAATAATGAAAACTCCATTTCAGAAATTTTCTAACTCAATATATCTCGCAATTTTTTGAAATGCATAATTTACACATAATGTGGCTTTATGCTTTGCGATTTGTTACATGCAAAGTTAGTGTGGATGCTTTCAGTTTGTTATATTCCAAATTATTACTTGCTGATTGGCAATGGCAATTTATTAGCATATGTAGCTGCTTTATTCGTGACCAGTGTTTGTCGGTTGTTAAGCTTGCGTGACTGAGTAGATAGTGTGTGAAACTCAAAATCTCTTGATTGCAGTAGGTCGCAGATTCGAATCCTACGCGTAGCCGAGTTTTTGCTAATTCGAGGCTTATTTCTACTTTTTCTTATTTCACTTGATAGAGCTGCTTTTTGGTCGAGATCTCGGAAGTGTTTGCGAAGTGCAGCTTCGCCTCTGTGTTAAAAATTGCGCTTTGATTGGCTGAATGATTTTCAGTAATTCGGTCGTTCTGCCGCTAGAAATTCCTGGTTTTCGCAAAAACCGAAGTTTCATGGGGATGTAGTTGTCAGTTGCGCAGGTTTTTTTTCAAACATTTTGAAAGTATGTTTTTGTTTTAGGTATGACGGCTACTTTCGAGATGATTAATGTGAGTAGAAGTTTCGTACCTTCGCGTTTTTTTTTCTAATTTTATCATATATTCTTGATCGAAGTTTTTTGATAATAATTTTGTCGCACATAATGCTTGCGTAAAAATGTACGCGCTGCGGCGAAAATTTAAAATGATATTAGATATTTTCGAAACTGACCAATTGAGACTATTGTAAAAAAAGACCGTAGCTTGCTCAAAATAAGCGAAAAATTAAATTTTATTTCTTTTTATTGCAGGTGGAAGAAGATATAGTGAGTCTATTGATTAAACTGCACAACAAGCTCCACAGAGAGGGCAAAGGGTACAGTCTGGAGGATCTGCGGGAGTCCAGTGTGTACCATCACAACTACAACTGTGGCAGCGCTGTGCATCACTTAAAGCTGGTTCTAGCCCGGATGATGGAGTTGAGTTCTGCAGCTAGGCGCAGAGTCAGGGAAGTGATTGAGGCACTGTCTCCTGCTGCGAGTAATGTGGCAGATAGTCCCATTCAAAGACAGTTGTTCGAAGCTTCCCCAAGTGGTGCCAAGGCTGAGTTTCTGGAAAGGTTGGTAACTATACTAGTTTTCTAGAAATATTGCAAAAACAAACAACTTGAAATATTAATCATAATAAAAATTACGACTTGCAAGTACTATCAAATCTGATACTAGAGCTTTTTCCCATTAGACATCTGTCTAATCGAATAACTTATTTCCAATTCTTTCCGGCACCAAAGCTTTTTCTCCCTCTAACTTGCGGCAACTGCAAGCTCGAACTATCATAATTGGAAGTTGGATTATTCTAACCGCATAGTTTTCCATTTGTTTTTTTTTTAAATGTGTTGCAATTAATGGTTTTAGTTTTGTTTGTCAATGAACTTAGAGAACAAACTTATTAAGGTAGTGATGATTTTCCGTTTTTTCTTGAAATCTTGAAATTTGTTCAGGCTAAATTCGTTTTTCGCGGTTTGATTTTTTGACCTGTTTGACTTGTGATTTGTTTAGAAGTTCAATTCAAATTAAGAAAGAGGCTGTGGCGGAACAAACTTCGAAGATTTTTAGGTTGTAAAGGGGATTTATTCTTACTTTTGCGGGCAGCGTAGTGTATTAGTACGAATCTTCTTTTTTTTCTAACCTAACTCGCAAATAAAAATGTTCATTACACAAGCAAAGATAGAGCGGACGCATTTTAGCTAGTTTACAAAAAAGTTCATTAAAAACATTCGACGCTGCCCAGGTTCGACCCATCTGTCGTGATGATAAGTTTTGATGATTTTTATGTTTTTTCAAGAAATTGTTCGAGCTCAAGTTTTTTTTTGGTGCTTTCAAATTCGGTTTCTTTGAAAATTCTGTTCAAATTCTTTTGCTGCAAGGAAAGAAATTAACTCTCTACAATAAAGAAAGCGGAAGTGGTGCGAAAAGGAATGATTTTTAGGTTCAAAGGTGGAGTTTATTTTGCAGATTTACCAGTGAAATATTGAATTTACCTATCATCCAGCTTTATCAAAAAAGGTAATAATAAAGTGTTTTTCATGTTTAAATAGTTTTAATTTGTATATGTCTTTGAAATTCGAAAATTGAAATTCGAAAATTCGTGATATATATCGAAAGTTGAAAAAATAAATTCTTTTTTTTTTGTTTAACAAGTTTTTTGGCATCTTTCCAACTGCTTTTTGGCATTGTTTGAGACCCGACAGGCGTGGATTCAATGCCTGCCAACTTAGTTTCTGCTTCGGAATTACTGTTACCAATATAAATTTAACGCTGACTTTTACTATCTTCTGTTTTTTTTTGTTCAAATTGACCTTTTTTAAAGCAGAGTTTTCCAAAATATATATATATATGTCAATAATAGATTATTATTTTTTCTGCTAATTTTTCATTCTGTTTTGACTTTTCATTACTCGTCTGAACTCTAAGCGTTGCATTTTTGAGAAACTTGATTTTTCATGGTAGATTTGTCGTGTCCAGATGTCTAAACAGTTTCTTTCTTCATATGCAGTTGATGCTAAGTTCAGAGTTACCCCTGTCCTGTGGAAAACTAATAATATGTTTTCAGAAATTTGACCTCAAACTTCTGTCATTTTTATACAAGCAAAGCTTGTGTGATGTTATGAACTCTCTTATTTTTCGTGTTTTCGCTATTGTTTGCGAAGCCCTGCTTCGCCTCTGTGTTTTAAATGTGGACTTCACTATCTTGCCATGCTTAAGCTTTTTCAACTTATTATTTTTGTACGTTTAAGAAGTTTTTCACGTTCAGGCTATATCGTATATTGCAATGTTTATTTTTTTTCAAGTTTGAATTCATTGTTTATTTCATCCGTTTCGGAATTATCAACCCGATACTGGTATGCTTTCAAGGTTTTCCCAGAGTTAGCGAGTTTGGCCTCCAATTATGAATACCCACAAATGCTTTAGCTTACCAGATACTACTATTTTTATAGAAAAAATTATCTTGCATCTTAGATAACAAATTTCACATTTTTTTTCAAGCTCAAAATTGTGTGCTATCAAGCCTCCATGTGTGATTGCTCACATTATCTTAGTTTCTAAGATATGCCGTTTTTCATGCTTTAAGTTTCAAAAAAATTAAGATTAAAAAAAACTTAACCTAGTTTGAAATATTCGACGATATGGCCGAGTGCTGTCAAGGTACTATCAGGACCTTTATTTTGACTCCAAATTTGACCGCTCAGCACCTTTCGTTTTTTTTTCATCTTTTTTGAAAATTTTCAAAAACTATTCAAAATTTGAAAATGTCGACCCTTTGATGGGTGATGTCAGGTTACTACCAGCGGATGCAGATGTGGCCTGCTCTCCTAATTTTTTTGCTCAAAAGTTCAAATTTTCGAAATGTGCGTTTTTCTTAATGATATTTCAATATTTTTCAGTAAATTAAGAAAAAATAGTCTGATATTTTAAAATTAATTACGCTGGATTGTGAAATCTGTTTATGAATATGTTGCTGTCGACCGTTTTAGGGTTTCGTTATGAGTTTGAAATACGAAGATCTGAAACAGTAATTTTGGAGATTTTACCATTTTCGTTTAAAAAGTTCAAATATTTTGTATCATTCAATTTTTGAAATCAAAAGCGTTGTTGGATTCCCTCGTGTAATGTTCCGATTGCATTCATTTCGTTTTTTTTTTCGTCATTTCTTATATTAGCAGTTTTCACGTTCATTAATCTGTTTGAAGCTTCGGGGTGCGTTACATGCTAGTTGTTTGTTAAATTGCTTGTCTTTCAATTTTCTTAGGTGAGATAGTCCCTTGTCTCTTGAAAATCTCGGCTATCTCCTGTCTCAATGATAACTTCCTTCTTACTCATTTTGATATCAATTCATCAGGTGAAGCCTAGTAGGGTCCGAGTACTCGTGGCAGAAATGTTTTTTTTAAGGAAGCGAAGAGCTCGTGAGAAGAACCGAGAACTGATGAAGGCGATGCAACAGAGACAAGCGAAGTTCTTGGAAGCTAATTACGAAGATGTGATGGCATCTGCCAACGAGCAGAACTCCTCTAACAGTGAAGATGGAGGGGCTTCATCGAGAAAGTGTGTCATTTGCAACCAGAACACCAGTCCCTCTCTCGACGAAGCAATGAATAATAAGGATACACCTACGACCAAATCCAGTGATTCAACTGACTATTTTGTCATCATGTCAATGGCTCAAATTTCAAATGGTAAGGCTTAATTGTTTTCACGCGCTCATCTCACATCAGTCGAGGTGATAACTTTCTATTGGTTCCAAACATGTAACAAAAGTAATTAATACAGCTGTCTTTTTTCTCCAGACAATTTTTGAGTGTTTCGAAAAAGTTTTGAACCATTTCGAAGATATCAATGTCTTCGGTTCCAATTAAAAAAGAAACTTCGCCCCTGTTAACTTTACCATTGCGATAAGCAAGGGTACTGGAATCGGGTACTTGACTTTTCCCGCAAATTATTGGTTCATAGAATGGTCAAAATTAGAAATGGTACATTTAGTTTCAGTTCACATTGAACTGAAATTTCTCTGCGTCTCCGGCACACTTGGCCTGGAGGTAACCAAAATGCTTGGAATGGCAATGGTCTTGGGTTCGAAACTGACAGGACCTATTTTTTTTCCTCAAACGGGAAATATTCAGTTTCAAAAAAATTGTGGGCATATTATTTGTCTGCTTTATGTTTTGTCGGCTTAATTGCCACATTGCATAATTGTTTTTTTTGCTGTACATTTTTCACATTGTAGTTGCTTTTAGTGTTTTGATTTACCTCTGGTGATTGCATTTTTACTGACTTTTTTTTATATATATATATAAACTTTATTCTGCCCAAATTATGTCGGCCTACAGTTTATCGGCTTACTGACCTGATTTTGATTCGTTTCTAAGTAAACATAATCTTTATGCTCACTGGATTGCACACATTGCTAAAATATTTCTAGAAATAATAGGTCAATTTTTTCATGGCAACGTTTTGTCGGCTTTTTTGTTTTTCTTTTTTTCTCGGTTTGATAGGTTCCGGCCCAAATTATATGGACTCACTTTGCATCTCTCGACGAGCGAAATAATTTTGTATGTGCGTGTGGATACTGACCACTTTAGTCACTCATGAGTAACCAGTCACTTTTGGTTACATTTTGGTCGCTCTTTGTCTCAAAGTCACCTTTCCAAAATGTTAACCTACGGAATTACCCCGTGGGTCATGAACCAACTCAGAAATCAGCTTATTATGAAACGCTATGCCCTGCATCTAGACGAGACAACTGATAATGGGAAAATTTGCATTGAATTCTGGATATCCTATGTTGCTTTCGGCAAGAAAACTTCTCGTTACCTTTGTCATCGAACAACTTTTTTAGTTTAATTACAGCTAAATTAAGTTTTTTGACCGCCTTGAATGTTTTTTTTTTGTTTGAGTGTTGGAGAGCGAAGGTCATTTTTGGTCACTTTGGTTTGTTGTTTTGGTCACTTTTTACAAAATTGTGATGGTCATTTTTATTCTTTCCCCATGTGGTCAGTCTGTGCGTGTGTGTAATTTGAGGGGGAGGGGATTTGCTAACTTTTTAAGTCTTCAGTCTTGCTGATTTTTTTTTCGGTTTAAAAAAGTTATGCTAAGGTATTTTCGTCTTTGTTAACTCTTGGTGCGTTTTTTTCCGGTTCGAATTTTGTTTTTTTTTTATTTTGTCGTGGCATGTTTTTGTCTCAAAGCTGGAATGATTGTATCGCAAGTCCTGCTAGCTTCGCCTCTGCGTAAATTAATGGGGTTTGAAAAATAACAATTTGGGTCATTGGTTTGTTTTTCATTTTCAGTGTTAATGAATGAAGTGAATTTCATAACATTTAGATCGTATGTTTTTTTGTTCTGTTTTCAGGCAAGTCTTGAAACTTGTTTGATAAAGGCTCTTCTTTTGATCTATTTTAACGATCTGCTCAATTTTGCATGAATTCAAAAGGGCCCCTCCCTTTCTTGATATTTAATAGCGATCTGCTCAATGTTTTTTTTAGTTTAAAATTGACACACACACACACACTCTCTCTCTCTCTCTCTCTCTCTCTCTCTTTCTCTTTGCAGATAATTTAAATCTAGTTTCGGCAAAGGACTTATTTAGACGATTCAATTACAAAGGACTTAAAACTTGGCTAATACTCCTTTCAAATACTCCATTCCGTCAAATATTCCATTCAAAATCATCTGCTGAAGACTTAAAAAACTAATATTTTGTCGATTTGTCAATCTGCTGCGATAAAATTTAAGTTTGAAAATGGACAGAAACGGTCAAAACAATCAATTAAACTCAATCACGATTAATCACGAAATGAGTCACGATCATCCCCAAGGACATCCAGTTGGCTTGACGAATCCGAGGAGAGCGAGCTTAAGCTCAAGGTGTACTCCACACCAACCAAACTGGCCGTATGTGAAGCAGAATGGAGTTTAATTGATTGTTTTGACCGTTTCTGTCCTTTTTCAAGCTTAAATTTTATCCAAACATTTGTGATAACTAATATTTGATTCAATTTGTTTGGTAGTCAGAAAACAAAATTGTTTGATCATGAAGACGCCGCGTGATCGGCAGCTAACTGGCCTGTTTGGTGTTCTTCGATGATGGGATATTTTTGGATACTTTTTTTCTAATTTTTCTTACAAATTGTTTGCTTGTTGTGTATTGCGCTTTTGGTTTATTTTTAAATTTCAAATTCTAATTCATTTAATTAATGGAAGGCAAATTACACTTTTAAAGACACACGCGCAAAAGTTTGGAAAATGGAGCTTGATTTTCAGTTTTAAAATTAACGTGAAAATTGAAGCTAAACGTGAAACAGTTTTTTTTTGAATTTTAACGTGGTTTTCCGAGATTTTAAAATTGTTCAAAAATATAACTTTATCAGTTTTTTTTTTCGTTTTCTTCAACTAATTGAATTTTTTCCAACTGTCTGAGGCCTATGGTTTCATTTAAAGTGTAAGTTTTGTCTTGTCTTAAAATTTCGGAGAACTGCAGCTTCGCCTCAGTTCAAATTGTAAAAGATCACATTTAATGCCAGTTGAGACCACTTCAGTAGGAAAATTGAGAAGTGATGCTTCATTGGCCAAACACAGCACTTAAAATAGTAAATGAGTAAAATTGAGCTTATTTGTTAGTTCTGTCCAAACGAAGAACGGGCAGTAGTAGGACAGACACTGAGCAGGAAGCATCATCGAAACAGACAGCGGGTGGTGCAAGTCCACGTGAGGATATGGACATTGAACACAAAACTATCAATGAGGATGGGGACGAGGAAGAGGAGATCAGTCTCGCACCCAACACAGTGGCAGATTTGTACAAGCAGCGACTAGCAGACTACCTCAAACTGTTTCCTGGTCAATTGGTAACTCATATTTTTCATGTACCAAAGTAAATACACCTAATAATTAGGTTTGCTATTATTAACAGGAAACAGATAAATGAATCAAACCTGGATATATACAAACGATGGCTGTGTTTCAGGTATCGACCGGACTTCTGGACGCGTGTGTCAGTCCAGCCGGGGTACTCAGCGTCTCAATGTGTGACCATGTAGCACATAACACCTGCATTAGCAAATACAAGGCCACATTGCATGTATGTGTTCCACATATTTTCATTCAGCATTTTACTTTGGGATCGCAAATAGTACTTATCGTGTGAATTTTTTCGAGGCTTTAGCAAACTACCGAATTGCTTTTTGTAAACGTAAAGAATGGAGTTGCTTTGTATGGAACGGTCAATGACCTAAACGCCACTGACACTTGATTACGCGACCAACAAGGGCTCTTCATTTTTCAAAATACGTGTTCGCTGCCTGCCAGTCTTAGTGAAAATTGAGAAGACTGAAGCTCAACTGAAAAGCAGAAAGCCGAAAAAAATCAACTGTTTGTGAACTAAAAATATATATGATTGATTAATATAAACATAAATATTGTTATTACATTATAATACAATACTTGATTAAATATCAAAGCTTATTCGACATTTAGATACACGATGATGATGATGTCAGCTCTAACAGATTCTCCTCCCGTATCTTCAGCTGTCCAGTGTGCCGCAAGAGATGCAATTTCACAGTGCCTATTCTCACCTCCCGTCACGATCAAAACATCCACCACGCCAGAGTAAATAACTTGGGGAGAAACTTTGTCTTCGGGCCTTTTTCTTAGTTTTTTTTCAACTTTTTAAGAGTAGGTGAACGTAATTCAGACTAATATATAGGTTAGCGGTTTACTTTTTCGCGGTGTCACTTTTGATTTCTTTTTGAGTTGTTCATTTCTTTTGTTATAAGGAAGGCAAACTCCACTATCGAACTGCAAAAATTTAAAGGTCACGAAAAACGTGATCGACCTCTAGTTTCGAAAGTAGAATTTAATTTTCAGATTTCCCCAGCCAAATAAAAATTTTACCTATTGATCCAGTTTTCTCAAATTGGGTTAATTTTATCAAAAAAAAGCCAGTCATAAGTTGTTCAAGAAATTCATAGTGCTTTTTTTCAGTGAAGTTCGAAAGTATTTTTTTGTTTACTTGACTCTTTTCCAACGGTTGGCTTGCGTTCACTGACTATTTTCCAACTGTCTGTTGGCTATGTTTTTTTTCAAGCAAAATCAGGGGCTATGAATAGTTATCCGAATTGGTCGATTGGTGTGTCGTATAAAGTCTTTTATGTCTCGTATTGAACGACAGTGGAAAGTTTCGACATTGATTTTCTAAGTTCAAACGAATAAAGCGGGTATTATAGGGCAATAAGTTTTCTTTAAACCATGAAAACTTAGTTTTACTCCAGTAAAATAATTTTTTGAGGTTTTTTTAGCGCCAAAGTTTTTTCATTTGATATCATTTGACCTGATACGACTTGCAGCTGATTTAATATTTCGATCGAATTGAGTTTAACTGGTTAACTCTGCCTGAAGGGAACCCATTTCGACAAAGTGTTGAAGGAGTACTGTGAACAGTATGTCACAGCAGAGGTCAACAAAGTGCTCCCGGAGGCCCCCCTGGATGGATGTGCGAGGAGGGCCATGTTCAGGCATGTTTAAACATTATTACGCCACATTTGAACGAAAACCATTTTGCTGCAGTTTTATCAGATTGGGTTTCATCCAAAAATGTCAGTCTCAAACGCGTTTGAAGTTGAGCATTTAAGAATTTAAAGCTTTTTGTATCTCAAATGTTTATTTTCGCGCGTGAGTTGTATTTATTGTGTATGAGTAAGTACTGTTGGAGTAAGGAAAGGAAAGAATATTTTTGAAATAAATCATCGTAATAGTTCACCTATGAACCGTACGAAAATCCTACTGTAAGTACGACAAACGCTTGGTAATGTGTAAAAGTAGCCACGGCATGTGCTAAAATGTATTCGCTCTCAATTTTGAACACAGTGTTGTTTACGTGTAGTGACGACCCATTGTACCCTTTGGCACTGATGTTGTACTACCCTCTGCTGTTCGAACTGGTGTCAACCGATAATATTCTCAAGGATAGAAGTAACTCGACCAACACAGAAACATTTTCTAGTTTTTGTAAGTATCGAATTGAGAAATATGGGAATCCAGCTTACAAGTAAGCAATAAAAGATTGTTTTTGACGAGATTTGTATTTTCACGTGGGTTGTCAAATTTTCTGTATCAAAAAATACAGTTTTCAGTCCATCGAAAGAATGCAGTTGATGTTTTAGATAACCTGGCCTTGAATATACGCAGATATTATTTGTCACTGGGAGAGGGACAAAATAGGTATGTACCCTGTTGTTTTTTTTACCTCCAAGTATTTTCAACATCATTATGCACGTGACTGTGTTTCAGCTTATCAGATTGGGATCGCCTCTTTCCAGATTCGTTTCTGAGGCTGGCCGCCAACTTCATTAAAACAGATTTCTTTTCTGATACAGGTACTGTGTGGTTAACAGTTTACACAAGCCAGCTAGCTAGCGTGGTGTCATATTACTAAGTTCACTTTTCCAATCCAGCTCATTTGCTTACAAAAGTGCTCATTTGCTCACAATTAAATAGAGTTTGTAGGGGGCAGTACAACAGTGCCGAAGTACAACAGTGCTGAAAAAGAAAATGTTGTTCAACAGTCGAAAATTATTTTGAACACTGTTTTTACTGATCCCAAATCACTGTCAAAAAAATTCATATCGTGGGAAGTTGAAAAGTCGAAAATGGCTATTTAAATTGAACAAACAATTAACTTCGCAAATTGTCAAACTTTCGTCTCGTTTTCGCTTCATACAAAGCAGTATTCAAGAAATTTGGCAACAATTTGCTAATAGAACTCAAAACTCTGTTAAATGCCCTCTTCCAAATATCATCAATTTTCGGAACTATTTTCAGTTTCGGCCTTGTTGTACTTCGGCACTGTTGAACGCCCCCATTTATGGCTGCTTTATTGATGACTAAAGTTACTGTAATTCCACGTGACCGTGGCGCAGATGCGCCGACAAGAAATTTGGATTCTCCAGTTTCGGGGTTTGTTATCTATCTGGACAAGTAAAAAGCTTAACCTTTTTTCCCCTGATTCGATTTTTTTTCCGTTTAGAGCTATTTTTTTTGCCACTTTATTGCTTGTTTATGCGAAGTGAAGCCCAGCCTCTATGTGGTTACTTCCGATAGTGATGCCGAGTGCTAAATTAAACTGCGATTAAGTGTCGCTAAACGAATTGAAGATAATCATTCAATGCGCAGGTTTTTTTTAGGAAAAAGTTTATACGTTTGGTTACTATCAATATTAATTTTTCCCTAAATAATTCACTGGGTCGTTTTGACTAGATATCCAAAAAGCTAATTTAGAAGACCACTGCAAAGCCAAAGAAAATCGCTTTTTAGCAGAACGAATCAAATGACCACTATTTGTTTTTCAAGTTTAATTACCTTCGCGAGCTTGCGATCGAAATACATTAGTTTGGATTTTTTTTCTAATCTAATTCGCAAATAAAAGTGCTCATTAAAAGTGTTCACTTATTTGGTGGCACTTACTGTAATCACTATTTTAAGCATTGAAAATTTCATAGCATCTGCTCTCTGCTTTATTTGTGGCTTGTGTTTGTGATTTATTAAGCGTCCGTGGCTGAGTGGTTAGTGCGTGAAACTTATGATCTCCAGGTCGCAGAATGAATCCGAGACGTAGTCGAATTCTTACTAATTTGATACTTATTTCTACTTTTTCTTTTTTGCACTTTATAGCTGCTTTTTGTCGGGTTCTCGCTAGTGTTTGCGAAGCGAAGCTTTGCCTCTGCGTTCAATTTCCAATGATATTTAGAGTACAATTTACCAATCTCAAAGAACCAAAACGCCACTGGCGCGAAAGAAAATTGGATTTTGGGTTCAAAGGATTTCGATTTTTAAGGTTCGATGAACGTAGTGAAGACTCTTGTTTATGTCGTGTTTTTTTTCCAGAAACATTCTTACATTTGTAGACGTTCTTTTCTAAGTTCAGTTCATTTTCTGTGTTAGAAGGATGGCAAACTGCACCATAGAACAGCAAAAGAGTTAAGGTCACGAAAAACGGGATTGACTTCTAGTTTCAAAAATGGAATTCAATTTAAGAGTTCCCAGCGATATGAAAGTGATACCTATTGATCCATTTTTCTCAAATTGGGTTTGTTTCATCAAAAAAGGGACATCCATACATTGTTCTAGAACTTACTATTCTGGAATTTCAAAGAGCTATAACGCGATGTAGTTTTCTTTTCGGAATTCGAAAATTAAAAAGTTTTCAAAAAGTTTTCTTTTGATTTCCTTGTTTGTTTATTGATTTTTTGTTGACTATGTTGGTTTTATGCTGATTGCAGGATTCAATATCGTTTTTACGTAGAACACTTTTTTCCCACACAAGTCGCAAATAAAAATGCTCAGTTATTTCGCGGCTCATTTGCAGCAATAGCATTATATCAGGTTTACTTAAGCTGCATTAGCATCACATCTGGTTTAATTTTGTTGCATTAGTATTATATCTTTGTACCTGGTGAATTGGTGGCTAGTATTTGTGCTTATCAAGTGCCCATGGCCCAGATGCCGGAACGTGAGATTTTTAATAGCGAGGTTTGGGGTTCGAATCCAATACATCAGAATTTTTCAAGAGTATTGACGCACTTAGGTAAAATGCACTTTTTGAGTTTAATTGAAATTCATCTGCTGAAAGTGATGTAAATAGCATTCTCAAATTACGAACATGGAAATGGCGAAAAAAAACGTGAATGATTTCTAGTGTCGATGGTGGAATTTAATTTTTAGATTTCCAGCAAATTAAAAATTTACCTGTTGATCCAGTTTTCTCTAGTTGGGTTAATGTTATCAAAGAAGCGCCAAAAAAAAATTGTTCCAGAAATTCAAAGAGCTTAAAGGGCATCTGTTTTTTTCTTAGAACAGATTTTTTCAACAAAGTCAGTGTGTTCTTTATGTTTACTTGCGTTCATTACTCTTTTCTAGATGCCGATACTAGAAAATGATGCTGGTGATATACCTCTAATAGATTCAGAGAGTAGTCTATGTATCTCCTCGCTAAAATATCTGACCTTTTCAGCTAAAATCATTGACGATCTCGTGGCGAAAATGTTGAATGAGGAGCTGGTAAAACAATTAGTCAACTGGGCCTGTCAACTTTCGGACGATGAGAGAAATGCATGGATACACAATTCTGCTAAGTCAGCCAAGCCATCAAATCCAACTAACGTAAAAACTGTTTTGAACAGCATCGGAGCTGTGTTGGAAGCATTCTCACAGACGTTCTCAGTTGGTTCGATACCGGGAAATGATCAATTGGCTTTTCTTGGTGGATCAAATTCTTTGTCTCACTGCGCTGTAAGAAAGATGAAAAATTGATTTTTTTCTTTATAATAAACAGGTAAATTTTTGGCACGTATTGAGTTGAGGTAACATAATTTGACCGGATTTAAATTTGAGTTGAAAACCATAGCTTATGCTCTTTCTTAAGAGTAATGAACGTAGTATATAGGTCTTGGTGATTTTTTTCGTTTTTCAGGAAGAAGACTTAAAATGCTCAAAATGCTTAAAATGAGTTCAATTGAAATTCATCTGCTGAAAGTGACGTAAATTGCACTCTCCAAATACAAACGTGGAAATGTTGCGAAAAAACGTGAACGATTTCTAGTTTCGAAAGTGGAATTTAAGATTTTAGGTTGATCCATTTTTCTCAAGTTGGGTTAATGTAATCAAAAGAAAACGTTAATCATAAATCGGTCTAGAAATTCAAAGAGCTTAAAGGGCATCTATTATTGAGATTTTTTCAACCAGTCAGTGTTGAGATTTTTTCAACGAAGTCAGAGTTTTTTATTCAACTTGCGTTCATTATTCAACTTGCTCTTCGATTGGCTATGTTTTCTGTATTAAATTGTTTGTGCTCAAGTGGAGCGTCATACCACGGTGTCCACTTGTTTCCAACCTAATTCGTTAATAAAAGTGTTCTTTTGTGCTGTTACTATCTACTTTTGGGCTAATCTTATTCCTCTGAAGCCACTCAAATAGAAGTTCAAATTGCTCTTTGTGCTCGAAGCTTTCCGCGGTCCTTGTGTGGCCACCGGCTGCTCTTGTTATTTGGACTCAGTAGTGAGGTGTTTTAGCTCTCAGCAGTGATCTGGTCGGAGCAGAGTTTGGAATCGTTTCTTCAGGACCAGACCGAACACTTTATTCTTCTCTCTGTCCTGTTCAAGAGCAGGTTGCTCAACATACCTGTCATGAGTCCCAATCGAACAGCAATGAGCCCAGTATGGTTTAAAAGAAAATTACGAATTGGAAAAATGGTTGCGTCATGATAGGGATCTCTGTGGTTATTTTATATGAGAATTTGGATGCTTCTTTTTATGATATCTTTGATCAAGGGCAGTTGTGGTTTTGAACGGCTCCATGAATATTAAGTGTCGCAACCGATGTTTCTAGGCAAATTTATCCAAAAAATGTTCAATGGACGCAGAACTCAAAAGAGGCAATAATTTATTCTTCTGGGAAACGAAACCGGTGAGAATGATTTTCGTCTCGACGAGCTGTACATCCATTCGAGTTTATGAATAAATTGATTTGTTACTGATTTAGGTCGAGTGCGTTTTTTGTTTTCCGGAAAAGTCCATGAAATTTTCGACTAAGTTATTTTTGCGGCTTCACTTCTGATTTCTTTTCAAGTTGAATTCAATTTCATTTGTTAAATTACTAGTATGCGACTAGCAAAGTGTATATTAACAAACTGACGTTTCAATCGATAATAAGTCTAGTAAGGACATTTAAAATCATGAAATATTAATTTCAACCCAATTGGGAGAAGTGCGTTTCAAGTTTCCAGTTTTGTCCGGATAATTTAAACAAGACTGCTCGTATCAGGGCGAAGCCCTGAAAGTTCCGACTGCCTTTTAACGTTTATGGAGCAGTGATAACATAAACAACAAAAAAATTAAAAGAAATAAAATAAAACGAAAAAACTTTTTTTCTAAAATTTGAAAATTTTTCTCTGAAAATCATCCCTCCACACGCCATATAAAGTACAAAACAAACGATTTCGCTTCTTGTAACAAATCAATTATGGCAAATAAGCTTCTTTTAACCAATTTGGAACGATTTCTGAGACGGATTAAATCTCCGCTTAATCGAATTATATCGCGCGTTAATTGTCCCAAATTGGTCGAAGTGGCCAAAATGGCAATCTTTAAACCCTCATAACTTTACGAAAAATGATCACAGGTGAAATATCTTTTCAAATTTAAACTCAGGACAACAATAGCTTTCGAATGATGTAAATAATTTCCATCAAAAATGGCTAGTTAAAAAGTTGAAATTTGTCTGAAGAAAAAAAAACCCACCCCGAGCACAAATATTCCGTTACTTTCGTATCGAAAGTCGGAACAATTAGCACTAGTACTGAATTAGAAATTGCTAATAAATTATACTGGGTCTTAGCAGCAATCAAGTACCTCATCGCATCTAGCATATTTCAACCTAAATAAATCCAATCTGTTGGACCTGCCTTTCAAAGACGCTCACTCTGTCATCAGAGACATGTTCCATGGCTTGAAGCACAACCACTCGAAACATGTACAGCCTTCTTCATTGCTGGAAAAATGCAAGGTAAGCAAAGCTTCTGTTGTTCTCGTCGTTTCACAATCTAGGGGTTATCAGCGTTATTGCATGAAATGGCCTTGAAACCTGATGGATCAAACTGCTTTCTTGTAAGAAAAAACTTTTCTAATGCTAGTAAGCTGTTCTGGTTAAAAACTGAACCTGTGCTTGGATTTTGTGTACGACTAAATTAAAGTTTTAATACGACTAAATTAAAGTTAAGAGTTACTGAACAAAGTGTAGTGGTTGGTTACCTATTTCATTGTTTGATTTTTCGCGGTATGGTATGACTTCTGGTTTCTTTTTAAGTTCAATTCAAATTGATATGATAAAAAGAAGAGAATTAACGCTCTCCAATTACGTAATTCAAAATGGCGAGAAAAAGTGTGATTGTCTTTGAGGTTGGAAGATTTTAAATCATTCCTCAAAAAAATCCAGGAATAAAAATAATAGCTTTCTGTAATTAGTATTCCGTAATTAGCTTCTGTTATTGCATCAATTGAGTAATCTCTCCACGCGTAATGACCAATTGAGCTATCTCCCCCAAGCAAAAACTTAGACGCTACAAAAAGCCGTCAAAAAACACAAGTAGATGGTTGATGCGTTGATAGCACGCAATCAATTGACCGACTGAAGTTCATTTTATGAGTATCGAGAAAAAGTTTGATAAAAAAGTTGAAATTTGAAAAAAAATGCAAATTTTTGTTTGGGCGTCGGTTGCCTCTCATTGACGAAAACGAGTTATCAGGGTTGATGCTCTTGCCTTGTATCTGAATACCAAAAACTGTTCTCCTCAGCACCTTAATATTGTACGCAATAGCTTTTTTCCCGTTTAGATCAGAAAAAAAATCACCTTATGCGCCTCAGTTTTATTGATTCTTTTTTTTTTCACTCTGAATGTAATTTATTAGCTTTGAGATTGTAAAATTTGGCGTTCAAAATTCGTTGGAGAATCTCTTTCATGATTTCATATCTTATAAACATGAAACCTATCGAGCTATTGATCAACATATTGCTCAATTGATCCCTGTTATTTAGTTAGTTTCATGAAAAATGAACTTTAACTTGATGTATTTTTTTCCTACTAACGAAAATTGAGTTTCATTAAAAGGACCCGTTGTTTTCCATTTTTTTCCGCTGAATTTGAGTACATTGACACTTTTCCAACTGCCTATTATTTTTATGTTTGTTGAACTTAAATGTCATTTGAACTCGTCGGGCCATTTATTCAAGTTAAATTGCAGGAGCTGATCAGGTGGCCTTCTTTGAAACCATTTTTGCCTCCCAAATTGATAAATCTCCCGGATGACTACGATTCACTATACCGGATGTACCGCAACAGAAAGTGTAGAAACTGTAGCCTGACGCCGGTCAACCTATCTGTCTGTCTCATATGCTCAGAGTTGATTTGTGTGCAAGAGCGGTGCTGCAAGAAGCGGGTTCGAATCTCGACTGCGCGCAATTTCACGGAGGAGTCGGTGCACTCGAACGAGGCCTCTTCACACGCTCTGTCTTGTGGGAACGGAGTGGGGCTGGTGCTGATGTTGACGACGTCACAGGTGTTAATTCTTTTCAACCACCTGGCAGCTATTTGGGGTTGCCTGCACCTGGATTCGCACGGAGAGGAAGACAAAGAGCTCAGGTTAGAAGTCTTTTGTACATTGTGACAAGGCAATCGAATTGCCTTCTCACAGTTTTTCTTGACTTCAGTAAGTTAGTTGGTCTATGGAGAAGAACATCCGAAATTTGACTCAAGTTGAATTTTAACCGAAATAAACCCATCGTCGGTATAATTAGCTAAGAAAAGCCGTAGCTATTTTGCAGCTGATAGTTTTTTTACGGATTTTTTTTCGAAAGATTGACGTAGTTATGCAAACCCATGAGCCTTGGTTGAAAAATTGTATTTTGAACTAACTCCGTTCTTAGAACGAAAATTGAGAAGAGACTGTAGGTTATCTAGATCTCTGATTTTTTTTGTTGCGGGGGAATTTTCAAGACAATGTATCCACGAGCAAAATGATTACGGGGAACGCTAGCTATTTGGTCTGAGAATTGTTGCGTCCTCGAAGCACCGACATTTTGACAGAAGCTGAGACCTTAGTCATTTCACCACCGCTCATATTGTGTTTTAGGCGAGGTAAGCCTCTCTTTCTGAGTCGAGAGAGATATGAGATGCTGAACAGACAATGGACGCTGATGAAGTTCGATGGAGCTCACATCAAATGGTTCGCCCACGGAAACAAACTCTGAGCCTGAAACAATTAGTATCCGAGATGAGTCCCTAAAAACTAAACACAATATGACTGAAAAGTATCTGAAAACTTTTACGTTTTAACATAATTCAGAGTGCATCAAGCAGATTGTGCTAAAACAACTGAAATGTTCTCTAGGGGCCGTCTATCGTTTTGATAATTCGGTTAGTTGTATGTACTTATAGTCGATGAACAAAGTCAACTATCATTTCATCGCTTCTTCCATTCATTTGCTTTGCATGTCTGTGCTATCACTGTAGATCCAATATCATGATTTAAAGTTTTAAAGGGTCAATAAATAAAAAGCCAATCAAGAGGCATTTATATTTCAAGTTGAGCTGCATCTAGATTGAAACTGAAGTTTTAAGGCATGGAAAACTGAAACTTATTGTTAAAGTAAGGTGATTCTGATCAACATTTTTTTATTCGAATCACTTTGACATCTGAATGTGTTGCTTTTTTAGATTTCGATTAGTAAATTTGAATTTAATGTTAGTATTGAGCTGTTTTGTACTTAAAATATCAGAAAGGCCTTTTCCGTGTGTTTAAATGCCCTTTCTCAGAATTATTTTGAAATTTATTTTCCATGGGCGACAAATGCGCCTCAAGAAACCTTGTCTATTGCTGAAGATGTCAAATTCTTGGTAGAGACAGGAGGCTCTTGCCGCTTCAGACTTCACTTGAATGAGGAGTTTAAGGCTCTGTTCTAAAACTGCCTTCCCAGCAGGATTCCTTGAGTGCAAAAATAAATTGAGGACGATGATTGTTCGTGACTGGATCCAGACGACGCCGCCTTCCAGTGGTGGATCCGACATCTTGGGCCCCACCAAGATGCAAATGGCGTCAAGCCCCCCCTCCCATTGGGTCGGGAGAAGCTCAGAAGTCTCCGGGTTTTCGGTTACGGAGCGTCTGAAGCCGGCCAGGCTGCTCCGTCTGCTCATCCTTATACTACTACTCCGCTCCGGCATTAATCCAAACCCTGGTCCAGGGCCTTACTTTTGCTCCCCTTGCTCTTTCCGCATCAAACGCACCCAGCCCAGTGTCTGGTGCCACATCTGTGGTTACATTCACCTTAAATGTAGTGGTCTTACCCACCTTAACCAACACCACCCTGACTACTATTGCCCTACCTGTACCTCTACCTACATTTTACCTCCCCCAGGCACCAGGTCCTCTAACTTGACCACCCCCAACTCCCAAACTTGTTCAACTTCCCTAACCGCCCCCAACCCCACCTCCCTAACCCCCCTCCCCCCTCCCCCTCCCACCCTTCCCACCTCGAATAATAATTCCTCCTCCCAAAATCGCGCAAATCGTAATCGTGTAAATAGTGTAAATAGCTCAAGTTCAAACAACCATTTTAATCATACTGCTGTTAATAATGTAAATAGTTCACCACACCCCGCCAAAGGCCTTTTAAAAATCCTTCAATTTAATTGCAACGGTATCTCCGGAAAAGCACCCGAAATTGCTGCTTTCTTATCTCAAAATCAAATTCATATTGCTTTCTTCCAAGAAACTAAATTAAGAAAGAAATCTCGAAACCCCTCACTTGGCTCACACTACACTTTAATTAGAAAAGATCGAGAAAAAGAAGGGGGCGGTCTTCTCATAGCCATACATGAGTCGATACAATACGAAGAAATAAATATTAACAACGATGGAACACTAGAGGCTATGGGCATATCAGTGGTAGCCAGTTCATTCAAGCTTTGTATTTATAATTTCTACATCCCCCCTCGCTCGAGCGGTCCCCCTGGTTACTCTGCGTCCCTTGCCGAACTACTTGAACCTGGGGACGCCTTAGTACTCGGGGATGCCAACGCACATTCACAACTATGGAATTCCAACATCGAGGAAGATCAACGCGGCTCTGTACTTAGCAATGAAATAACCGAATCCACCTTTGCACCATTAAATGATGACACACAAACCAGAGTCCCTTTTAACTCAGAAAACCAACTCTCGTCACCGGATATTTCCCTCGCATCCCAATCGCTCTTACTCTCCACATCATGGACCCCAATTAAATCTCTAGGATCAGATCACCTACCCATTCTTCTAGAACTACCCTTGGATGATTTTATAAATTTTTCACCTAAAAGGACTTTTATAAATTTTTTAAAAGCAGATTGGATCAAATTCACAGAGGAAATTGAGGAGGGTTTCTTTTCAGCGGTTCCACCTTCCGGAGTTGCCGCCGGAGAGAAATTCTTGAGAGACCTGGTGCTCAGGGCAGCACGCCACCACATCCCCGCTGGCCGTATTCGCCACTTCACTCCCTCTCTTTCCCCCAAGTCCACTGCCCTTGCCGCCGAAAGAGATTTAAGCCGATAACAAAATCTCCCCCCAGAAGTCATATCCCAACTGAACTGTAGACTCATGAAACAGACAGCAAAGGACAAAGAAAATAAATGGCGAGAATTCCTCCAGACTTGCGACTACCGCACTGGTGCCAGAAAGTTCTGGAAAGTGGTACGCTCCTTAAATGGATCTAAGCCCGTGGCAGGAAGACACCCCATTACTTTTGGTTCTAAACCCATACACTCACCTCGTGATATTACCAGCTCTTTTAACAAACAATTCACCAATGCCAGACCCCACGCCTCTGACAAACTCCTTCGTATAACGAGAAGAAAAATTGCCAAACTACCGCTGTCAGACAGCCCAATTTTTACCCCTGAAAATACTAAACAAGCCATTGCAGACAGCAAACCATCGCGAGCGCTAGGTCCCGACGGCCTTTGTAATATACATCTTAAACATCTCGGCCCACTTGCTACTCAATACTTAACATACCTTTTTAATATCTCTTTGTCCGAAAACATTATCCCCCAAATTTGGAAAAATTCAAAAATTGCACCGCTTCCAAAGCCCAATAAGGATCTTAAACAATCAACATCTTACAGACCTATATCCTTACTCTGCCCAGCAGTTAAAATTCTGGAGAGGCTCGTTCACCCCATCTTTACCAAACATCTCCCCAACGCCAAACACCAACACGGCTTCCGCCCTTTTCACTCCACCACCACAGCTCTCTCCACTCTCGAATTTTACATTTCAGACGGTTTTAACCAAAATCGCCCCCCTAAACGTACGGTACTGGCCACACTTGACTTATCTAAGGCTTTCGACATGGTGTGTCATCGCTCACTTGTGGAACTCGTTCATGACATTCCCGTCCCAAGAAGTCTAGTCCGCTGGCTAAGTAATTACCTTAATGGTCGAGAGGCTGCCACCTCATTCCGTGAACACACATCCCCCCATCGAATAATCCACTGTGGCGTACCCCAAGGTTCTGTTTTATCACCCACACTCTTCAATTTTTATGTCCATGATGCACCGCCACCTCCCGATAATGTAAACCTTGTTTCGTATGTAGACGATTTCCACCCCTTCGCAAGCAGTTCCAATATTGATATCGCCTCAAACTCCATCAATAGCTACCTAAAAAGGCTCTACGATTTTTTCACCTCACGCAAACTAAGTTTCGCGTCCTCTAAAGGATCAGTTACACTTTTCTCCTCTTATAACAAAGAATTTAATAAAACACCTAGTGTTCTTTTAAATAACGAGGCGCTACCCCTAAACAAAAATCCAACAATCTTAGGGGTGACATTTGATCCAACACTTTGTTTTGCCACTCACTGCAAACAATCCGCTGAAAAGGCCAGACGCAGGATCGGAATCCTGAAGGCACTAGCAGGATCAACCTGGGGTCACTCCAAAGAAACCCTCCTCCTAACTTTTAAAGCTTTAATTCGCCCCATACTTGACTATGCAGCCCCCGCGTGGTCCCACGCATCAAGTAACACCTCCATAAATTGCCTGCAGGTTGCCCAAAACCAATCCCTTCGCGTTGTTACAATCCCACCTGCACAGTGAATCTGAAATCCTAACGGTCAAAGACCACCATACCCTTCTGTCATCTCAATTTTTTTATCTCTACCTATCGTTCCCACCATCCCATTAATTTTATACATTCACATCCCCCTCCTCCCCGTCTACTTCGCCCCTCAATTATAAGCTGCTTCAAAGAAGACACCCAGAAAATTTTAACCGACTTTTCAGTCTACGCAAACCACCCTCTAGTTCTGGACGACCGAGACGAAGTCTCCACTTTTATTTTTAACTACTACAAACCAATTTTAAAAGACAACCATACCTCCCTTGTAACCAAGTTCTTAGCCGAAACCCCTCCGTCTAAAGTTATTTGTATCCCTCCCCCAAAGATTGACCCCTCTGAAAAATCTCTCCCACGTCCCACGCGCTGTAAGCTCTCCCAACTCCGGTCTGGCTACAGCCGGTTCCTTAACACTTACCTATCCCGCCTCGACAGCTCCATCTCCCACCTTTGCCCAACCTGTTCCCTTGCCCCCCACACAACATGTCACCTTTTCAACTGCTCCCAAAACCCCTCCCCACTCACCCCAGCAGACCTGTGGCTTCGGCCGGTAGAGGTTGCTAAGTTCCTTGACCTGGAGACAGAAGAGCCCAACCCGACCCGCGTGGGCTAACAACAACAACAACATTGTTCGTGACTAGTATCAAAAGGGAATACTTGTAAAAGACAATTTCAAAGAATCCTTTTCAAGATTCCGACGTTTTTTGCTAGCTGATTTGAATATTAAACTTCCGTCGATAGAAGTTAAAAGAACATTTAATTTACTTTACTTATACGGGATTTACATTGGCAAATTACATTATGTAATTTTTGATCAAAAAGTTTTCTGATTTTTGATCTATTTCAAAGCAGCCGATATCTTGGTTGGCTCGTCACTTCTACATGTGAAATTGTCCTTAGATCTAAAAATTATACTATCCAAACTTGATAAACTCGTTTTAAATTTAATCGGGCTTTACTTGTTCTTCCGACCACCTAAGGTGTCGTCGAGTACCTTAAGGTTGAAGTGTTTGTTTTCCATGCTAATCCAGTTACCAAACAGCATTATGTGTGCTGTGATGAACAGAATGAAGGCGATGTGATTTGAATGCAATGTAAACTTCTGGGTGTAGAGAAAAAGCGGGATGACTTTTTTTAGATAAATTACAATCGATAAGTTGATGGAACACGCAAGTTCAATACAACCGTTAAGATTTTCATTGGAGTTTAAATCGTTAAATAAATTAATAACTGGTATTTCGAGCAAAAGAAACTGACTGCTATAGAAAGCACGAACTTTCTTTAGTACGAACTTTCTTTTTTCTTCTGTAGTAACTCGCAATGAAATTCTATAAGTCTTGCTGATTTTTTTTTCAAGAGAAAGTCTTAAAATTTGTTCACGTTTTCTTTTGATTTTTTTTTTGCGTTTTGACTTGTGATCTCTTCTAAGTTCCGTGCATTTCTATTGTTAAAAGGAAGAAAAACTCACTGTCAAACAGCAAAATTGTAAAGGTCACAAAAAAGGTGATCGACCTCTGGTTTCGAAAGTAGAGTTTAATTTTCAGATTTCTCCAGCCAAATAA